GGTCCAAGAGATTTATGCAGGACCAAGTCCCGGACCTTTTAGGGATGGAGTACGAGTCTACCCAGGCATTTAACCCCTCGGGTCTTGGTCGCCCACCCTGCATAATATAACAATACAACCTTACTTACAGCATAAAGAGTTTATTTGTCATATACCATCAGAAAAATATAGAAAGTTGGAAAGTTTTCACCGAAGCACTCTGGACATCATTGACACATCAGAGCCGATTTTTGATCTACCATTACAAAAACAAACCTCAAATTCGATATAAACTGAAAACCAGCAGCAAAGTCAAAATGTGAGATTTCTTCTTTGTTTCCGGGGTGATGAACCTGTGCTTTAGATGTTACCGATCTCCATTAAATATGGCGAAATGCCGAAACAAGTCTGACAGACCAACCGAGAAAGGAAAGGAGAACCAAAATGATTGGTAACGACAAAGACAGTTTCATCGCCCTGTTGACAAAGGTGAAATTTAACAGTTTGACTGTTGGTGCTGGTTTAAAAAAAATCCTTTTATTAAGTACAGTTAATTTAAGTGCTCAATTATTTATTTTATTTTTTTATATATTATATTATTATTAAATTTGTTTTATTTGATTTTTAGGTTGCATTTTTTTGTGGGATTTTTTATTAAGTTACAGTTGGGAAATAATTTTGCCTCCGTTGTTTTCCTTACCAAAAATTAAACTGAAAGTTCTAGAAGGGTACTTTCTTAAAGGAAATTTAACGTTCTTTTAAATCAATTAATTATTCTTTGTATGTAAGGTCTTGGTTGAAATGAAAAAGCTAATGTAGCTGTAGGTTGAGATGAGGTGTTGGTGTCCGAGTGTATCGAAGTCACGATAGTTCAAGTGGTTAGAGCGGCGGCGTATTGAACCAAAGGTCATGGGTTCGAATCCGCTCGTGGCAAGAGCTTTTTCATTTCAACCAAGACCATACACATAAATAATCATTTGAAAAAAGGAATTTGGTCATTGATACGTACTGGATGTGGATAAACCCATGTTCAACTGATTGACACTGATCAGATTTTTAAGTTCGAATATTCCGGCTGGTTTTTGTATGCTGGACTCATACCCGTTTTGGCTTCATTCCATCTTCAGTGAGGAACTATCTTGATTGTCCCTAAATATGGCTGTCTATACGTCATATATGGCTGGTGTTATGTTAGATATGTTGATGGTATGTTAAATTGTGAAATTTCTCCATGTGGTATATGGGATGCTGATCCTGTAATTTGGTCGTTATCGATCATTGTAGTCTGCTTATCCTCGCTGTTTTGGTCTGTCATTGCGTACATACATGATATAAAATGATGCATACATAATACGTGTCTAGTCGTGATTTCACCGTTGCGATGAAATTGGAATATAATTGGAATCTTTTAAAACGTAGAAAAGTTAAAACTGACGCATATAACCTTAACGATAACTTTCAATTAATTAAGGTTTTTAGTTGAGATAAAAAAGTCAGTGTCACGAGCGGGATTCGAACACACGATCTTCAGCTAGATACACCGCTGCTCTACCTTGAGCTATCGTGACCACGATCCATTCGGACTTTTTTATATCAACTAAAAACCTTAATTAATTGAAAGATATTAATTGGTCAAGCGGACCGCGAAACCTAGTGAATTTAATAATTTAAAATGAAGAATACCTTCACTAAAGCTCTACGTTGCCATTTCATTTGCCGCCGAGAATCAAATAGATTACACGGCATTTGTAAAATGGCAAAAAGGAGGGAAAATTCAAATGGTGGGGTTGAGATGGAAAGTTAATGTCAAAGCGGATCGAAGTCACGATAGCTCAGGTGGTTGAGTAGCGCCGTATCTAACCGAAGATCGTGGGTTCGAATCCCGCTCGTGACACTGACTTTTTTATCTCAACTAAAAACCTTAATTACTTGAAAGGTATTAATTGGTCAAGAGGACCACGAAAACTATTGAACTTAACGATAACATTAGTATATAAGATAATTAAAACACATAAGATAATTAAGAAATAAAATATAAAATAAATACAGACAAAAAGGGGATTATACAAAATTTACAGTCATAGTTGCAAGACATTGGATATATATATATATAAAGGGGTAGTGAGTGGCAGAGAGAGAGGGAGAGGGAGAGAGAGAGAGAGAGAGAGAGAGAGAGAGAGAGAGAGGAGAGAGAGAGAGAGAGAGAGAGAGAGAGAGTGAGAGAGAGTGTGTGTGTGTGAATGAGTGGACGAATGGGAAAGAAAGTGTAAGATTGAAATCAACGAAAAAGAGAGGGGGAGAGAGAATGACGGAGAAGATTTGACAGAGAGAAGGATAAAGAGATTGAATTTGAAGGAAAGCGAGTGTTGGTGAGAGGACGGTGATATGAGAGTAATTGTTATTATTACTATTATTATTATAATTTTTTTTATAATAATCATTATTAAATTATATTTGCAACGTACTATTATTATTATTGTTATTATTAATATTTTTTTTCCTGACCCCTCCACTGTTCGAACGCTTCCGTCTATAATAAAAAAGCCAAACAAAGACAAGAAGCCTAACAAACTGTAAAAAGCCGGCAACGGCTGAGGAATATACAAAAAAAGGCCAAGACGGTGATATGAGAGTGTGGTAGCGAATGTGTAAGCTCGCAATCATTATCTTCAGAAACAATCCGGCACCTATTATTTAATCTCGGCTAAGCAATTTTACAGCCGTCCATACTAATCCCTCCTAGATGTATCTAAGTCGGGAATCAATAGAAAAATTGATTGTAGGCGTGCCGATGGCAGTAATTGGACTTCGCTTGTTATAATGCCGGCTCAAGTTATATTAGTTTTTTTTTTCCATTTTCTGTTCTTTATATATGTCAAGACGTGATCGCCCTTAATGAGTGAATTATACCACCACGGTAGCCGTGCGCTAACCCTCCCTTCTCATCTTAAACGTGTTTCAACTGTGAGAAAACTATTAATTTGTTACAGTTTTAGTTTAAAAACATACCCTAAAAAATGTAAAGTTTCAGAAGAATATCGATTTTTCACTGTGTACATATATCATAATTTTTGTATGAACTTATAAATATGGACGTCTGATATATTTTTTCACAGTCATGTTTCTGGGGGACCGATACACATTTAGGGAAATGGACTTCTGGATATACCTTCCAAACGTTCCCATTTTTGGTGATTGGTTAGTGTTTGTTTTTGTAAAATCAAGTTTTATACAGGACCATCATTGATGTTTGGAGTTCTAGTAAATTGTTAAATTTCATTCCTATCTGAATTAACGTTGATTGTCATTATTTACAGTACTATTTTTTATGTTAAAAGAGATGTGAGATTCATACTCAATAAATTGATCAATTTGCCTAGCTAAGTCTCTGAAACTCCAAAGATGATCATATACAATAAGTAGATTTCATAGTTTTTTTATTTATTGTTTTTTAATCAATTTTTTGTTTTTATTCTTTAGATTTAATGTTAACCACGTCAGAATGATCTTAGGAATTTTATCAAGTCGAAGTGGAAATCAACAGGTCATACTGTTAGGTTTTTCACTGATCTTACGCCTTATACAGGGGAATCTTTGGCCATTTTACTATGTGTATGTATCAAGTTTGTTCTATTCTTAATCTAGAAAGTATTACATTCTCTTATCAAGTGCTTTGTACCAAAGATTGACTTTCCATTACAGTGGGCTTGATATTTCACTGTTTGCTGTCTTTTTGTTAAGTGCGAGGATAATCTTCAAAAGGAATCTGGTCGAGTAGAGTGCTCGTAATTGTCGTTGTTTTGGCAGATTTGTCATATATGATGTTTCAATCTTTAGAAACCATTTGCTAATGGTTTTCATGGTATAAGCATCTAGTTAAAATATTAAAAATTGGGGATTCCATCTTAATGAATTTTTGAGTTTAGCTTAGTAGTGGACGACTACATCCTGTCCATCCTACTAAGACTACATCCTAGTTCGAAGTCCTGAAAGGGGAAATATTATTCTAAAGCTTAACAAAGGAACTAAGCGTTTTTCTTTCATATTCACATAAATTCACCTTATCATGATTTTTATTTAATAATTATAATGTGTGGTGTTTGGTGACCGTTGGTCAATGATTATTCCGAGATCGTGAGATGCGGTCTCTCTCTCTCTCTCTCTCTCTCTCTCTCTCTCTCTCTCTCTCTCTCTCTCTCNCTCTCCCTCCTCCCTCACTTACTCTCTCTCCCCTCCCCCTCTCTCTCTCTCTCTCCAATCTTTTCAGCCAATATTTTCCTGCACTGCTTTTGTTTAACTTTTACATCCACGGTTATGTGACGGCGTCTTCTTAAAGAATCTAGAAGGAAGCGTCATATCAAATCGAGAAAAGCATTTCTTCCTTCCTTCTGCATAACGTTTCATTCAGAATTATGGGTGGGATGGGCTGGTACGTGGGAAGCCGAGCATGCTGAATAGAGGTCAGGCGTTGTCTTCTCTAATAAGGCAGCAAGTTGAAGAATGAACGTGTGATGTGAACTTGGCATGAAGCATAAAGAATGTTGAGAATGAATGACAGATTCACTCACATTAAACAATGTTATATTTGGGACTATTTCATAATAGGTACGTTTAAAATAAAAAGGTGTAGTGTATAACACAACGCATTAAATATCATCCATTATGGAAAATAAAAAGGAATATAGAAGAAAAAATGATCAATGAAACTATAATTAAGAAAAAATCAATTTAAGTCAAACATACAGCGTTTTAACTAAAGCAAAGAAGACTGTTTAGTCAATTTTAAACACTCATATGCAAATAAAAAGTATTACTATTAAAAAGTTTTGACACGTGACTTTTTATGTAATATGCGAGTTTTGTTTTCTTCCTATTGGTGCTGCCTGTTTTAGTTCCTACGCGTTGTCCAATTTTGACTAATGTCAGCGTAGAAAGCCTGAAGGTCGATTTTGTAAATATACCGGTCCTCATGTGTAGATACAGACGATGGACCCCTCCCGAAGATCGGAGAACGCCTTGACATGGGATGCTGTTCCTCCTGTTGTAGGCCAAGAAGACTCCCGTACATCTGTGACCTCGTCAACAAAAACCGCGTCATACTCTTCTCCAAGACACGCTGCGTAGACTGCCTAGAAGTGAAAAGAATGCTGAACGAGATGGGCCACAACTACACGACTGTCGAAATCGACTTGTGCGATGACGGTACGGTGGCGAAGGACCTCACCTATCTCACAGGCTACAAAACGGTCCCCTTGCTCTTCATCAACGGCGTCTTCATTGGCAGCAAATACGAGGTGGCCAAGCTCAAATTCTGTGGCAGGCTCCAGGAGATGATAGGCCAAAACGCACCCAGGAGGCACAACATCGGGCCCATGTTCGACTACGCTAAACGATATAACAGATATTTTTAACAATAAATAAGTACAAAAAATAAAGTTAATTTTTCTTGGGACATATGGTATCAGATGTCCACATGGGACTTCCGAGGCGAGTATTGTTTCAATTAATTTTTAATATTTTCTTCAACTGAATGATCCGATCCTTTAAAACCGTTTTTTGACATTTTTATTTCTCCCATGATAGAAAGTAGCGTTTTTTTATTCATCGTGCTACCTTCTGAATAGGAAGATTTGTGTGCGGAGGCTACAGATAGAGATTAAATATATATTCAATCTATACTATAATTGGTGTTAAATGCTCTGTCGCAGTCGTTTGGAAAAGGAATTAGGCTCGTAGGACATGTTTTCAAGAAAAACGCAAACGTCTTTTTCTAATCGACTCAGCAGGTCGATGTACATCGAAAAAGACAAAGAAATTTTTTTCGATTTTTTTTTTTTCGTTTTTCTTGAAAACAACGTGTCCTTCGAGCCTAATTCCTTTTCCAATCGACTCAGCAGGTCGATTTACATCGAAAAATACAATAAATTTTTTTTCGATTTTGTGTGTTTTTTTTTTTTTTGCGTTTTTCTTGAAAACAACGTATCCTACGAGCCTAATTCCTTTTCCAATCGACTCTGCAGTTCGATTTACATAAAAAAGACGATAATTTTTTTTCGATTTTTTTTTGCGTTTTTCTTGAAAACAACGTGTCCTACGAGCCTAATTACTTTTCTAATCGACTCAACAGGTCGATTTAAAGAGAAAACGACCGACAATAAATTTTTTCGATTTTTTGGGTTTTTTGCGTTTTTTCTTGAAAACAACGTGTCCTTCAAGCGTAATTCATTTTCAAATTGACTCAGTAGGTCGATTTACATAAAAAAGACAAAAAATTTTTTTTCGATGTTTTGGGGTTTTTTGCGTCTTTCTTGGAAACAACGTGTCCTTCGAGCCTAATTCATTTTCCAATCGACTCAGCATGTCGATTTACATAAAAAAAAGACAATAAAACTTTTTTTGCCACAGCTCATGAACCCCCCAATAGCGGAAACCAGGGCCCCGGCAGCATCACACGCCCCGGACACCCCTTCACAGCCTCCACCAGACGGGCACCCAAACCGTACCCAAGACACCTCCCAACATTGAGTGGATTACAGATTATTGCATACTGAACTTGAATGATTTAGTATTAAATTATTACATTATTTTATCTTCATATTTTCGAAATTAGTTTAGTATTTTTAAGGAAAGTTACTAGTTTGTTTATTTGGTCGAAGTCGACACCAAGCGAGTCTTTGATGTTGGTTGGAATTTCCAACCGATGTCTTTCTGCTACATATCTTTTGCAATTTGTCAAAATGTGTTTAACTGTTATTCTTTCTGCGCAAACATCACAAAGCGGAGTCTCTTTTTTTTGGCATGAGATAAGAATGAGTTAGCCTACAATGACCAATTCTGAGCCTAGCAAGGACAACTTCTTCATGCCTGGAACCTCTGTGAGATGAGGCCCAAGGTTTTACACTGTTTTTTATCTCCGTAAGTTTGACATTAGAAGTCTTTTCCCATAACTGCCAGGACTTTCTTTTATGCCAAGCTGCCACATCGGATTTTGGTGTTTTTGTAATTTTAACTCCATTAAGGACGGCCTCTTTGCCAATTGCGTTTTTCTTTCAAGGACGTCTCTTTCGATTTGGAAAATATAGACCATATAAAATTCGGAGAACCATTCAGCATCGTTGTCAAAAGTAAGGTGCGATTGATTATAAACACGAAACATTAAGCAATAGTTTACCTTACACCAAACCATTTCAGAATAATTGCACAGAAGTTAGAACTATCGAGATGATGTTAGCTGCCAATTCTGTTTACTAACCGGTATTAGAGTTCACAGGCTAAAAAGAGCCAATGGATATTTAAACTACGACCAAATTCAAGTTTTTATACAGCTTTAATAAATTCTGAAATGCCATAAATAATATTCTATTTCTATTTAAGACGACACGTTGAAACTTAAAGTTTTTACATCAGATTATATTGATAAATTGGTCGACCATTCACTAATCAAGATACACGCAATAGCAAATGTATTGGAAACCAAGCAGACTTGGTCAGAAGAAGATGATTTCCCCCTGATAAAACCTTCATTAAAAATTGACGTAATTTTGAAATAATCAAAATACAATTTTAAATCAGTAGTTAAATTTTTTTAAACTTATAATTTGGAGGACAATTGGTGGTCGGCGAACCTTGCACTGCAACATTTTCATTTACCAATCCTCTTGACAAGCCGTTAACAAATTATTCAGTAAGCGTTGAAGGACCTGGTCTCCAGTGGGCCAAGACCGTTAAATGCGTGTAAGTTTATTTTTAAAATTATTATTTTTCCTTTATATATATGAATTTTTAAAAACTAGGGTTTTTTCTTTTTTACAAGAAATGTTTAGCCGAAAGGACATTTTGCCTGCACAGAGAGCTTTCATCCGAGACAGCCTGGTCAAAAGAAATTAATGGCAGTGTTTACATCAAATCAACTAAATGACGTTGCAAATTCAACAACTGTTGTTGTTCAATCACCATAATTTGGTCAGTTTTGTTAAATCTTAAAATGTACTTTCAGTAATTAAAATAACTAATGATGTTAAGCATGTATATTTTATTTATTACATTTGTATATTTCTTAAGTAATCTATGCATTTTTATGATGTAATATATTATGATATAAAATAAAAAATTACTAGAAAACTGTACTGTTTCATTTTTAATTTTTGTATCCTTTAATTATATAAGTTTTACTCCCAATAATCAAACAGTTTATAAATACATTTAATTTTTTAGTTCTCATGGCTCAACGTTTGTTGTTAACTTTCATTTAAAGTTCAAATTTGGGGATCTCATTAAATTTTCTGAGAAGAGTACTCCCACCTACATGTACAGTCAAGAATTTTATAAAATAATAGATATCTTTTCGAATCCCACACTATGTTTTACAGATGGCTCAAAAAATGATGTAGGGACAGGTGCTGCTTTTTTCACTTATAATAATAAGGCACAATATGTTTACCCTACCACCTATATGTAGCAGCTATACTGATGAGATTATAGCAATAGCAAAATGCTTAACTACATTAGCCTCATCCAGGGAAACGATTGTCGTCTGTACTGACTCTGTCAGCGCTATTGTCACTTAAAACAACTTTTCTGTACATCTGTTGATACAAGACATCCTATTTACCATTGAATCTCTGCAAAATCAGGGAAATAGAGTAGTTTTCATGTGGATTCCTGGACACTGCGGAATATTTGGCAATGAGAAGGTGGACCATTTGGCAAAGCAGGCCATCCTTAATGGAGTTAAAATTACAAAAACACCAAAATCTGATGTGGCAGCTTGGCATAAAAGAAAGTCTTGGCAGTTATGGCAAACGGAGTGGGAAACGACTTCTAATGTCAAACTTAGGGAGATAAAAAACAGTGTAAAACCTTGGGCCTCATCTCATAGAGGTTCCAGGCATGAAGAAGTTGTCCTTGCTAGGCTCAGGATTGGTCATTGTAGGCTTACTCATTCTTATCTCATGGCAAAAAAAGAGACTCCGCTTTGTGATGTTTGCACAGAAAGAAAAACAGTGAAACACATTTTGACAAATTGCAAAAAATATGTAGCAGAAAGACATCGGTTGGAAATTCCAACCAATCTCAAAGACTCGCTTGGTGATGACTTCGACCAAATAAACAAACTAGTACCTTTCCTTTAAAATAAACTAAACTAATTTCGGAAATATGAAGATAAAATAATATAATAATTTAATAAAAAATCATTCAAGTTAAGTATGCAATAATCTGTAATCCACTCAATGTTGGGGGGTGTCCGAGGCGTGTGATGCTGCCGGGGCCCTGGTTCCTGCTATTGGGGGATTCCTGAGGCCCACTCACCACCCAGCTTGAAAGTTTTTTAAGGCGGAAAATGACCCAAAGCGGTTGATCGCCTTTTATAATTAAAAAAAAAAGTTCAAATTTTAAAGTTTCTTGGATCAGTTTTTGATTACACTTTTCAATAAAAATTTATCAACTTTTGATTTGCAAACCATTCAGTGTTCTTACTTATACATGGTTCTAACTGTCTTAATTTTGTTTTTACAATCAGTAATAATTACTGATTATATAAGCTCATTTCTGCACATGTACAGAGCGGAGCCTATTACTTCTCACAGTCCACCAGCAATTCCAGGTGTTATAATTTACAATAAATCACCAGCAGGCCTTGAGAATGTTGTGTTGGCAGTCTGGGGTCAGACCTCGGTCTTATACGTCCAGATGCCGAAGTTAGGCTCCAGGAGCCAGCAAGGCCTCTAACACCGTCTCAAGATCTAAACTGATTTACACTTTCACTCACTCTTAAATGCATTGTTTCCTATTTACATACCATTCATAGTTAAGGTACTTGATATTCCTTCATCACCACATACCGTTCACTCAGGTTGGATATCCTGCATCAACCTTTACACCTATTATATAACTAACCTAATTGAGTGATGGAATTCACAATATTTCACCATCAGCCTTCTCACACTGCACATTCAGGCCAATAAATGTATGCCTCTCGACACAAGCTAGGCGACAAAACTATCATTACTATATACAATAAAACAGCCTGTTTACTCAAAAATTGGAACAGGGGACTCAAATATTCACTGCCACACTCAACTACAATTCTCATTTTGGGTGACATTCCTACATGCTCTCTGTATGGAGGAATTGCACCCTTCAATTAGGTGTAACACATCGAGTATGTCAGACAAATACACAGGCTTTGACCCCAAAGTAAGTTCCTGTGTGTCAACATTACATGGCCTATTTTAAATTGGGCTGAGGGCTATCTATCAACAGGGCCTTTGTTATGTGAGAGCTTCTCTGCAGATCTAGCCCACCGACACTGCCCTTTCTTTTAAATCATGGATTTATTGCGTTTTAGCATTAGAAGGCATTTTTTAGCATCATAGTAATTCTGGCAATTTCCATTTCTTTTATGATAGAACAATACATTTTCTTTCAAATCTTATCATTATGCCCTGGACTTCATAAATCATATCAGTAACTTTAGTGCTAAAGTTGTGTAGCATTTCCTGATAAGCAAAGGCAAATTTATTTTGCAACAATAAATCCAGTAATTTCCATTTTTTCGGCAATAGAATTAAAACATTTGCTCTGTAATCTGTACTGTGAGTATATAAGCAGATAATTCCAAAGGCAGTAATACTTATAAAATTTTAAGCATAGTTAATGCTTTTACAAACGGATGCATTATAGTTTTCTTAAATGTCACCGACTTTCGTGCCAAAGATACCACATAACATTACGTGGTAATGCCTGGTAAACATAAACTTATTGATTTTGGAATAATAAATGTGGGTATTGCATAGGCAGAACTAGTTCTAGCTTTCACAAAGGGGATGCGCCAATGTCCCTAGTTTGTCATGACCGGGATGGCCTTTGGCCATCTTTGGCAGCTTTGGTCATCTTCTTTAAAGGGCGGAGGCCTATAATTTGCACTTAAATCTTGCCACCGCCAGAGATTAATTTCATCGCCTTTCTTGTTTGAGAGATTTGTACCTGATTTTATCCAGGGCCTGTTTTTTTGTTCTTTCTCAAGACACTTTTTTCCAGCTTCAATTTAGCACACTCTCCGGTGTAACTAGTTCTTTTTTTATCTATACCTTCATGTCCAGGACCTTGTTGACTTCTGCTGGGCCATTTAGAAGCTGAAAGCTTGCACATTTAATGCCTGACTGTCCAAAGGATGTAGATCCATACAAATGCACCTTTTACTTTCTTATTTATCAACTCATGATTAAATTTAATCAAAAAAATTATTACATTAAAAAAATACTGAAAATGCACTATTACATTTAACTAAAATTTACTCATATGGCAATTTTTCCAATTTTCGTTTATTTTGAAATACATTATATTTTCAGCTTGGTAATTTTGGTTTTTCTAAGTTTAAAATTAACCAAAATGGGTTTCTTTCTTCAACTAAAGCTTCTTTTGTGGAAAAATTATGTAATTCGGACAAGGCGAAAGGTATCGTAACTCCTACTGATATTATAAACAAATTTTAATTTTTGGCACATTTCATAGCCAATATATTTTAAAAAGATATTTATAAACTAAAATAACTGCATCAATAGGTCCACTGTGTGGTGGAACTTGTCTGGCCCCTGTGTTTATTTACTCTGTTGATGCTAATTCGCACCAAAGGCTTATTTCAGAAGGTTCATCAATGTATGCCTAAATAAATTACTTGCACTATATTTTTGTGAAAATCAGAGAATAAGCATTTAAATAAACAGGCCACTTTGAAGACAAACCTATGCCATCAGCGGGCCAGCTGCTTTTTTACCAAGGGCTTATTTGTGCATTCAATAATACGTGCCATGCTTCTGCAGACATAGCTGACAGGAGCTATTCAACTATACAGACTACAGAGTCAGTTTGAATTGTTTTCTTTAATTTTATATTTCATGTAGAAATTAATTTTAGTCTTTTTCTCATGATCCATGATGCGAAGTCATTTTCAAAGTATGCAGTTGCTAAAAATCAAGAGGCTATTAAAAAATTCACGCAAAGTGCAATGGCTTTGGCTGAAGAGATTAAAAAACAGAAAAATCCTCTTTTAAAAACAGGTCTTTAATTATAATATGGGTTTAATTAAATTTTTTAAAAATTCTGTAATAAAAGGGTAATTGTTATAGATTTGGAGTATCATCACCGGCCACCCCCAAATAATGTGAGTTTTAAAAAAATTATTTTTGCACATCCAATTTTATTTCTCGGCTTGTCATATATTTTCTTCTATAATGTACAAAAATGAACAATTAACAAAGGCAAAAGTATTTGTTCAAATTATCCCATCAATAAAATCATTTACAAATAATTTTCAGTTGTCATTGGAAATATCAGCCCAAATGAAAAGACTGGATGCACTTCATGGCGAGCTTGAAACAAATATGGCTGAATTAGCTCCTTCTTTAGAAATCATTAAGTAAATTATGTTAACTTTTTTTTTTTAAGCCGGGGTTGATGGCTGTGATTATATCAAACTGAGTGGTTCATGTGTATTGCCAGTTTACTCAACAATCACTCAGTTACTCTTCTTTTTATACTTTTGACGTTGCAATTGATTTATTCTAGCTTATGGGAACGGTTAAACATCAATTATGACAACATAACAGCAATTTTAAAAGATAACCCTATTATTGATGAAATATTTCTTCGTCTACACACTTTCATGTGTGGAAACAAGACAAATATGACATTAGATATGCTATCACATAACCAGTTGCCGCTAAATAGGTAACGACTTGTGCGCTCTAATGTTTGGCAAAATGCAGATTTTTTTGTTTATAGCCTTCAGTCTTATTTAGAGAGCATAAGTAAACATCCAGCAGAACTGCATTATGAGTATGATACAGAAATCAGCAAAGAGTGTAATGCGATTTATGAAAAACTTGAAACGACGCCTTCTTTAAAATTTATCTGGCGTATTGTCAAGCCCTATATAAGGTTAACAATGTTCAAATTTGCAATAAATTGTAAAATATTTTACTTAACAGTTGTTATGTGCAGAGGGAAAATCATATTCAGCCCAAATACCACAGTTGTTAAAAGAGTGCTTAAAAGATTATCAGATAAATTAGTTGGTCCCAACTTGGCATCATTGTCGAAAGAAGCAGAAGCTTTGAAATACGATGCCTACATATATTTGTCATCTCTACATGAATTGACTTACATCAAGGTTCGATTTTTAAAAATCAATATTTCAACCACAAAATTTAAAAAATGTAACGATGCAAAAATTTCAGGAATTGTACAATTTACAAAACAGTTCACACGATGATGGGTTCGATTCTAACACCCTTCATTCTTCAATTTATGATTCAGTGATTAAGGCACAAGAACAGATAAAAAAGTTAGTACTGATTAATAATCAAGAATCATGCTTTCTATTATACATTTACAACATATTAACCTATTTCATTTTTACAGCTACTATGAAAAACTGCAGAAATTTAAAAAGAAAAACGCTTTTTTTAAACAAGAAAATACATTAATAGAAGCATTAAAAGTTTGTACTTTGCTTATATTTGCTTATGTAAATACTCCATTTACTTTTAGTGTTACAGCTCAATTGAATTTGAAGGTTATTTGACAGAAGAGGAAGCCGAAGAGAGAAGTATGGCCCTCAGTGAGAAAAACGACCTGCTTGCGATGATCAGTTTTATGAACGAGCACGAACACAAACTTGAACCATTGACCACTTACAAATTAAGGTAGATAAAGTGTCAATTCAAATCAATTGTACGTTTTTATAAAGAAGTATCAATTGAAAAGTCCAAACTTAAAAGGATGAATGCTGAGAGAATGCTGGATTCGCACGAAGCAAGCACTTTTAGTTACACAAATGGTCCAAATCAAAGACCGTTCCAGGATTTAAAACTGATAACGTATGGTTTTATTTACTTGCAAGACTTGATTGAGCAAAGTATACTTGTGGAACACACTGGAAGAAAAGATACACCCGGGATCATACTCAAACAGTTTCCCCATCCTTGCTACATAGATGATTGGTAAGATTATTAATAAATTATCAATGTATAGTTTAGCTTTTGGATATTTTCTGTATGCCATAAATTGGATTAATTTAAAAACTCCTGTAACAGTGATTGCTCAATAATTACACTTTTTTAGGTTTTTGTCCTCTTTGGCTTATATGTTTCCACTTTTTATGGTGCTTTCGTGGGTTTATTCAGCTTCGATGATTGTTAAAAACATTGTCCAAGAGAAAGAGCAAAAATTGAAAGAGACGACGAGGGTCCTTGGAATGGGCAATGGGGTTCATTGGTGCAGTTGGTTCATTGACAGTATCATACCAATGATTATTACTATTTTAATATTGTCCTTGATTTTGGTTGTAAGTATATAATTTTATATTATAGTCATATGATCCATATTAATAATAAAATACTAAAATATTTCAATAAAGTTAATTCGAGGCGACGGTTGCTCTGTTTAATTTATCTGCACAAACTTCTTTAGTTAGTTACTGCTTGTTGTGAAAAGTCCTCTGTTGACCCTCATAGGGTTTCTTATTATAAAAATACCATGGACTGCAGCATCTAGGAACAAACGGCAGTTTTTGTGGGCATATCTGGACACATAGGTCTGGAAGGGGTGGATTTAATCACTACGATCCGGCCCACTGACACTAAAAATGGAATAAAAAAACACGGTTAAGAGAAAGTGGCAGTATCGATGAGCAGGAATGGCAGAGAAGCACTTGTGAATCAAGAGCACTGATAGATGACCCTCATAAGATCTTAAAAGACCTCACCTTACAATAAGCCATGCAAGGTTGACACGAACACTTATTTTGGGTCAAAGCTCGGGAATGTGTTCGGCATGTAGAGAAAGGTTGCTCGATGTGTTCCAGCTAAGAGGATGTGATTCCTTGGCTCCATATAGAGAGCGTGTAGGAATGCCACCTACATGAGAATTGTGCTTGTGCATGGCAGCGAGTATCTTGTCTCCTGTTTTGATGTTTGAGGAAACAGGGTTGTTCTTTGTTTATTATACACAATGCTAGTTCTGTTCCTTGGTATGTGTTGAGAGTGAATGTATTTATTGGCGTGAATGTGTAATGTAAGAATGCCAATGTGAAATATTGTGAATTCCATTGACTTTCAATTAGGTTAGTTATGTAATAGGTGTAAAGGATGATGGAGGAATATCGAGTACTCCACCACCCTGAGTGAATTGTATATAAATAAGAATTAATGTATTTTAGAGTGAATGATAAGGTAAATGAATTTCGGAATTGCATTGGGACTGAAATGACCTAGCTGTTGATAGATCCTGGAACCTAACCTAAGCAGACAAGATTGAGGTCTGTCCCTGTACTGCCAACCCTAGGGCTAGGTGATTTCTTGACACCTGCTGGTAATTTATTGTAAATCACAAAAGCTGAAATGACCTAGGTGTTGATGAGTAGTGATAGGCTCACTCTATACATGTGTGTATGTATGTATGTGCGTGTGCAGATTTTATTTCATATAAATGGGTAAATCAGTAAATAAATCTGTTTAAATAAATTGACATAATTATAAATACGTACTGTGATTACGGAAACAAAATTATTATTGATAAATGCTTTTTCATATAATGAATTTGATTATTCATACTTTGTAAGCCATTGTATTATTTTTATTTGTATTGATAATGATAATACCTTAAAATTACCTAACAATAAATTTTAAAATTATTTGTTTTGACCTTTTTATTTGTTTAAGTATGGAGGGGTTTTGGCAAATGCAGAATATTCACTTGTCGTGGTGTTTTTGCTGTGCTATGCGATCGCCACAGTCTCTAAGTGCTTTCTCATATCCACATTCTTCTCGAAAGCCAACCTCGCTGCAGCCTCCGGTGGTATCATTTTCTTCACTTCATATCTGCCGTATCCATTTATAGAGAAGTGGTACATTTATTTTACACCGGCGATGAAGATGATAGCTGTACGTATTCCTTTCTTTATAGTGAATTACTCGATGCATTTCATTGGTTTTGTGCAGTGTCTTCTGTCTAATGTCGCACTCGGCCTTGGTTCAAACTATTTCGGCATGAAGGAACTTGAAGGTACGGGAAGTAAATGGAACAATGTTTCCAGCAGTCCTGTCATCGGAGATACGTTCAACCTCCTGGTAATTATGGTTGTTATGCTGCTTGACTCTGTTTTGTATCTCCTGTTAACATGGTACATTGAAAATGTCTTCCCAGGTAAAGTAAGAAAGATTTAGTTAATTAAAGTAATCACCTTTTCTTAATACTTTATTTTAAAGGAAACTACGGTATGCCTAAACCATGGAATTTCCTCTTCACTAAATCCTACTGGTTCCCTTTAGCTTCAACATCAAACTCATTTCAAGAAACGACATCAGGTATTAAATTAAATAATATCATCTGATTATAAATTGTATACTCTTTTTTTTTTTTAATTAATTTTGACAAACATGTAGAAAATGTTCTAAACTGTTTGGTAGGCCGTATGATTTAAAACAAAGGCCAGATAGTTGAAAATATATAACATAAATATATAAAACAGGTTGAGCGAGATCACATGGAATGATTTAAATTCAGCTTTAGAAATTAAAGTATGGACACAATGGCAAAAGGTTTGGTCAGATGTCACAGATAACAAGCATCAGGAAATAAAATCCACTGTTCAAATGTGACCTTCCTCATCTAGAGTTAGAAGAAAAGAAGAAGATCCTAACTAGGCTGAGAATCGGGCACTGTAGAGCCACCAAGGGATACTTGATGGCTCGTCAGCCACCACCGATCTGTCATTTATGCAATGAGTCTGTGACTGTAAAACATATGCTTATATCATGTCATCTATATGACAGTATCAGAAATAAGTACGTTTTACCAAATACACTACCTGAACTTTTAGGAGATGATCAAAATACAGTTACAAAGCTGTTTCACTTTTTAAATGAAGCTAATCTAATCAACAAAATATAAACAAGTGTATAACATGGGACTCCCTGTGGCTAGGGGCAGGTCGTGGGGTTGGGCATGCTGGGGCGTTGTTGTGTGGGTGCGCCCTTCTGGTGTGCTGGTTCCTCGATCTTCTTCCCGCAGAGGGATTCTCTTAAAAGTTACGGGGCTAACATGACCCTTGGTGGTTCGTGCCCCTCAAAAAAAAAAAAAAATCATATACAATTTTAATTGATTAAAATCAGATTAAGATTACTGCCTTATTCTATAAAGCTATGAGAGAATGATGTGAGTCAAATGAATGAGGAAAGGCATCATCAACAGGAGCCATCCTCACCACTTTGAACTCAAGATCTCACTCATCTACTCTTTATTTGTCAGAATTTATTTGTTAATCCAGTTTCAGTAAGAAACTCAAATAGCTTTCTGATGTTAGATAGGGAATGTTTCAAAATTTTGGTTGCCTATATTTAAGCTTGATAGTGATTATTTCACATCAAGTTGTGCACTCTGGGAGAGGCTCTATGGCCATAAGGTAATCATGCGTCAATTTTGTGTGTCCTATCCTAAGCCTTGCCAATACATTTTCCTCTTTCTATGTTCTTTGCATTGCCATACCCCATTGTTTGGCATATCCCTTAATTTCTCTGAGTTTATTTTCCTCGATGTTTTGCCATTCTAAAGCGGCCCATAGACAGTCAATATTATTGTACAATATAGATTGCACAATAATTTGACGGTTGCCCCTTAACGTTCAATAATATTGTACAAAATTTTGTTAGTGCAATGAACTTGAATAGTTTGAAGGCGATATTGAAGTTTGTGCAATATTTTGTGCACTTGTTGATACTTCACAAACTGACTGATACTGTGCAATAACGCCAACGGTGCAATATTTTCCAGGTGTACAATATATTTTCAACTTTTCGTCAATCAATGTATTGCACAAACTTTCAATATCGTCTACACACAATCAATTAAATTGTACAACCCAAAATATTGTGCAATAATATTGATCGTCTATGGGCCGCTTAAATGCCATTCCTTTTAGAAAAACTTCAAAATCTTCACAAGGAACCTCTTTCATTTCATTGCTTTGTCAGCCTACTCATTGCATACCACAATGACCGGATCCACGAAAATATAACTACTCATCTTAGGCGATCTTTTAAAGCAAGTGATATCTCTTGTATTCTGGGTTTTGTCAAAAAATTATTTTTGATAGCTAATTAAGTTTAAAATCAGATTAAGATTAAAATCTATGTATATATTATCTATAATAAGACCCAAATATCCTATGTCAAAAACAAGCTACTCAATCAGATAGCAAGCAAAGACTGGCAAACTTATGTACAATAGCAATGAAAACAACTCCATCACTTGCACTAGAAACTCTACTAACTAAACCTACTTCTTGAAATATTATACAATACAAAAACTCATTTAGGCTCCAGAAACAATCAAATTGGATGGGAACCAAAACACTTTGGGTATACAATAATAATTAATAAAATCAGACACCTATTCATAAAAATTGGAACTGGCTACATGATTTCAAAAATACACTTAACAACATCTTAAAATGTCTCAACAGACTACAAAGGAGAAGAAGAAATCAGGAGGAAATGATAGACAGTGATACTTTATACATGTCTCCAAAACAAATTAAGGAACTGGATCAGGAATTTTCTGTACAAGTTCAGCAAATGAGCAATTGAACTTATTAGGAAAGTTCACCTCAATCTTTCAAGCTGAAATATGCTATCAAAATCACAACATAATTAGTCATGCATTCAAAATATTCACAACTTGGGGATTCGCAACAACCTGAAGACGTCTTGGGTACCAGGGCACATAGGAGTTTTGGGTAATAAATAGGCACACTGGCCAGAGGAGGATCTGCATGAAAAACATTCTGAACTTATTCTTGGGATAACAAAAACAAACATATAATACTCCAAACTGGAGTGGTGGATGCCTACATGGCAAAGCAAAAAAAAAAGATTGGATCCAAAAAAGACAAAACTCTAGATATGCTATACACAGAAAGCATTTGTAAAAACAACCTACACTAGACTGGCAAATTCATTGCTTCAGATAAAGAGGGCTAAACAAGGAGGAGTGATAGGATTTTATACTGCTCAATGGAATCTTAAAAAAACATCTACATAACATGGGTACATTCAATGCTGGCTACATTTGTAGGCTTTGGGAGGAGGAGGAAAATCCGGCAACCGTACCATTTTTAAACGCAAAGAAACTGTTCAATAGAACATGTGATTAAAAAAAACCCAGGGAAATTGTAGCAATGATAGTCATGACCTTGTACTCTGAAGAAGGATCGAGTTGATTGCACTGAACTAAGGAACTAGGAAAGTACAATAAGCCAGAAGGCTGCAGTGCGTGGAGAACAAAAACCCTGACATCCTAGTATCCATTTTCATCATCATCATCATCATCATCATCATCATCATCAAGATTAAAATCTAGAAGAAGTATGCATGTCACTCAGATATCTAGCTGATAAATACATTCACTCACCAAAAACAATTAACACAAAGCAATTTATAAGATAGATAAAATATTTTATGTTCTACAAAACCCCTGATGAGAGCCAATGTTGCAGTATTTTGTAATCCAGAAGACAACAATTTTTTATTGGCTGAATTTTACAAGGTATATTGAATTGGAAAATACTGTTGGTATTCAATACATGTTCATAAATTCAGCCAATAGAGACTGTATGATTTCTTCTTAAGGTCTCTGGGGATATGAAACTGTAGCTTGATCGTTTCCGACTGTTTTAGACTGCCCGTCATTGCAGTCTGGAGCATTTAGCTTTCCAAACAGTTCTAAGATGCACTTTCACCTTTTTTTTAGATTACACTCTAAAAACAAATGATATGTTTGAAGAAGAGCCGAATGGTCTGACGAAAGGTGTGTCTTTAAAAAATCTATGCAAAACGTACAAGAGTGGAAAAGTGGCATTGAGAAATTTAAGTATGAATTTTTATGAGGACCAGATAACGGCTTTCTTGGGAAGGAATGGTGCAGGGAAAACAACTACAATGTAAATTCAATTGTACTCGGAACTCTTACATTCAGGATTTTATTTTCGCATAATATTGTTTAGATCAATACTTACCGGTCTGTTCCCACCGACTAGCGGTTACGCAAGTATTTATGGACTTGATGTCCAAACTCAAATGAATTTGATTCGAAGAAGTTTAGGAATATGCCCCCAATACAACGTCTTCTTCAGAGAGTAAGTTAAAAAATTGTTCTTAAAAATCAGTTTTAAAATTAAGTAATTTTTTTTAAGTTTCACTGTGCAAGAGCATTTGTGGTTTTTTGCACGGCTTAAAGGACACACAACTGGAGATGTTCAGGTGGAAATTCAACAAATACTGACAGATCTTGGTTTGATTAATAAAAGTGAAAGCTTAGCTAAACGTTTGTCAGGGGGTATGAAAAGGAAGTTGTCGATTGCCATCGCTTTTATCGGTGGATCGAGGTAATTGATCAATCTTTCAACATCATCAGAGGAATAAAAGCTATTGTACTAATAATTTGTGTAATTTTCTATTTAGAACTGTGGTGCTTGATGAACCTACAGCAGGAGTTGATCCCTATTCGAGAATGAGTATATGGAATTTAATACTAAAATATAAACAAGGTTCAATAAACTGTAAAATCGTTTTAAATTATGACTGTCAAATACAATTTTTTGTTTTCAGGGAGGACGATTATTTTAACAACACACAATATGACAGAAGCGGAACTGTTAGGAGATAGAATTGCCATTTGTGATAGCGGAGAACTGCTTTGTTGTGGTTCTAGTGCTTTTCTAAAAGCAAAACTCGGTTGGGGGTATATGTTAACAATCGACTGTCATTTACAGGTAGCCGAAGGTTTATATTGTCAAATTTAGAAGACAAAAATACTCTTTGATTATTAACCGTTATTTATTTTACAGTACAAAAACCCTGAAACGTTAAACGCCATTTCAAAAAAAGTGACTGAATCAGTTTTAAAAATAATGCCTACTGCTAAAGAGGTCGAACAATTTGGAACTGAGATAAAATACAGTCTTCCTAATATTAGTGGGCATGTTAATATGTATCAAATGCTGTTCGACTACCTCAGAGACCAAAAGACACAACTGGATATTTCATCTTATGGCATAGCAGACACTTCTCTTGAAGAAGTATTGTATATTTTTAACTTAAATATTAATCACACTAAATAGTTATATTTTTTTCTTTGTAACGTCAAGATATTTTTGAAATTAATTAATAAAAAAGAAGATCATCCGCAAGACAAGCCATTCCTATTTCCACAATTTGGTAAAATTATATTGAATTTTTTTTTTACATATTTTGTTATATTATTAATGCTAAACATTTTCATTGATAGATAAAGCACAAAATGTAATAAAGGATACTTTTATTGAAAGAATTAAGCATGTAATGTGCCAGTTCCAGGCTTTGTTTGCCAAAAGACTTATTCGCAGTAAAAGAAACAAACTTGGCCTCTGCTTTGAAGTAAATTTTCAAATTTGTATTATACTAAAAAAAGTGCTAAAAGTTAACCTGCATTTATTTCTAATTAGCTACTTTTACCGGCACTTTTTGTCTGTTTTTGCATGAGTATTACGAGTGAAATACCAATCTTAAAACAACCCCATGCTATGGATATCGATGTGACGAACTGTTCGAGGTGCACATCATTTTTCAATGTACTCCCTCAGTCTGGAAACTGGTCTGCAAAATACGTAAAAGAGCTTTCAAGTTACACAGGATTTGGGAGCAAATGCATTGGAAATTTAAGCATAAAGTAAATAATTGTCTTAAACATTTTATAACAGCGAAACAAATTTGGGTGTCGATTTTATTATAGGAATCACAATTCAATCTGCATGAAACCTCTTTACATCAACGGAACCAGGCCCAAAATAAAGCATAATCTGGAAGAGTGCTCCTGTGAGAAAGGAACGTTCAGTTGCAATTTTAACTCATCGCAAGATTTGCCAGATAGACTTATAGTAAGTAACCCTGAACCTTTAACCTAAACCCCTTTAACCATGAAATTCTACTCTAAGATTAACTAATAAAACAACAATTAATTAATTATTCTAAATGTGGTAAAAAATAACAAATTCTTAATATTACACCTGTTCAACCTGAACAAAGGGTAAAAAAACAAGAACATTTGTGGCAAATAGCCAAGCAGCCATCAGACCACTAACCTCAAACATCATTAACTCAAAAAGAGTGCTCAGTTGCAAACCAAATTAAATTAATTAGGTATGCAAAATAAAGTTACTCTCTTCCGGGATCCAGGACATGTGGGAGTAGAGGGCAACGAGAGAGCGGACACCCTTGTAACAATGATAGGCCCTGAGCCATTCAGTTGTTTAGGGATTTGTTCTATCAATGAATCAAGAAGACTGGTCGAAAATGAGCAAACTGTGAAACTCCTTGGTCACAAATGAACCAAGGACCTCCTGGAAAATTTCAGAAGGAAAGAAGCAACAGAATGCGTCAAAGGGAGCAGGGAAACATTTTGAATCCTGACAAGATTCTCAACAGGACACTACAGACTGAATGAGCATTTAAAGATTTGTATATTCCAACTTGGTACAAGCAGATTCTTCAAGGAATTAGAAGAGACGCCAAAGCATCAACTAACAAATTGTGAGAGTACCCTTGCCATAGAAGAATTTAAACCACTGAAACCGGACCTACTAATTAAATACCTTGATTAATTAGGAATCATCAGAGTGCTATAGATACAGAATGGTGTACACAAAAGCTTTCAAACGGGCAGTATATTACACACCCCGAATATTACATCTACATTTACATCTATTATTACACAAAGTTAAATGTTTGTTAAACAATTATGTTTTTCACTCTTCTACAAATATTTTAAAATTATATACAAGAAACTAAATTTTAAAATTACTTATGTTTAGACTTCTAGTGGGCATGTAATGTTGAATGCTACGGAAGAAAAGAATATAACAGAGTGGATATTAACTACATGGAGTAATTATGAACCCATGAGGTAACTAGATTTCAGAATCAATTAAATTTAAATCCATCATTAAATGGTACAATAAGGATTAATGAGAAACAAAGTTCACAAAGAAAATTTGTTGTAAGGACTGGAGGGTTTACATTCGGATTACAATTACCAATGAAAGGAGTTTCTCTAAGCACCACTTTTAAAGAAAATGGATCTGTATCCGAACTTAAAAATCCCAACGGCACATCAATCACAGATAACATTCTGGTGAGTTTAGGGTCTACTGCATTTTTTACCAGTTTTGTTATTTGATAATCCCGATGGATTTCAGATTTGGTTCAATAATAAATGGCCTATATCTCCAGTTGTTTATCTCAACGGTGTTAACAATTTGATCCTTAGAGCTTCAATGCCGGAAAAAGAATCTCATAAGTATGGTATAAAATTAATAATGCAAGGAATGAATTATACAGTGAAGCAATATCAATCGCTCATCTTGTAAGAGAAAAAGTATAGAATCATTTTAGTTCAGGAAAAAATACTGATTTATTTTTAGAGGAAAAGCAGCGACAGCTTTGCTCCATTCAATTTCTCTCATATTCGCATTGAGTTTTGTCCCTGCTTCATTTGTCCTTTACTTAATTGAAGAGAGAGAGACAAACTCGAAGCATTTGCAGTTTCTTGCAGGCGTCAACTGGGCACTCTACTGGATACAAGTCTTTGTCTGGGACCTGGTAAAAAAATATGATTTTAAATGTACTATAAACTGTAAAGTTGTACTATAATATTTGACAGTGCTGCTACTTGATGTCTTCACTGCTGTGCATCCTTACTCTTGTTGCGTTCAAAGAAGAAGCATATGTCAGCAGAAATAGCATCTTCTGTCTGATGTCGTTAATATTTTTACATGGGCAAGTTTAAAACTAAAATAATAAAATTTTGAACATCTATAAATATTTAGATATAAATTATTAAATTACATAGAAATATTTTTATTTAGTTGGGCAAATATTCCTCTCATGTATCTTTCAAGTCACTGCTTTCGAGTTCCAAGTTCAGCCTTTGTAATTTTGTCATGTCTGAATATATCGATTGGAGTTATAACAACAGCAACGACGTACGTCTTGAAAGTATTTAATGATGAGGTGTGACCATTATTTTTAGTATATTATTTCGTTATATTTATCTTGATATCATTAGAATGGCAATTTGAGTTAAATGTGGATAAAATGAGCTAAAAAAATTTTAAAAAAATGAGAACTTTTATTTTTTAAATATGTCTATCTTTCTCATTTGTATATTGATTGTAATAATTTTTTTAATAGTATTTCAAAACAATCGAGAACTTCTTGAGAAACATATTTCTTTTATTTCCTCAATTCTGCCTTGGAGACGGCGTCATGAAAATCGCAGAAGTTTATTTCATAACAAAATCTCTTGCTCGTTATGGTATATGATATAAATATTGTAATTTTCATTTTTAATTAACCCTGCAGTGGATGCATATATGTATAAAAATGGCAGAAGTGGGCGCATGCAATACTTGGTACTGCATTTCACCTTTTAGATTCTTGTTTTGTAAAATTATGTCAAAATGGCTTCAAAAATAAAAAGTTATCTTAATAGCAATGATAATATTATACCATCATAGGAAAAACAGAACAATATGGATGTAAACATTTATAATATAAATAAATCCTCATTAAAAGAAATTTACATAAATTTATTGCTTTTTAAAAATATTTTTAAAATATCAGTTTGATAGACTATTTTTAACTTTCTAGTCTTCTTCAATATTTTAGTCATTATTGTTTCATGGAATCTTCCTTTTTAGCTCAGTCAATGGAAAATGAAGATAAACGAAAACAAGTGTATCCATTGACATTTACACTCTAAAGCTCTAATTTCCTTTAACAACCTATTATGTTCCTATCCATGAATCTGACTGCATTGATTACCTTGGGTTCCACTTAGATTCATGCTTAATGCATCCATGACTGATACGAAAAGACTTAAACAGATTACAATGTATTCTAAAAACTTTAATTAATTAACGTTTGGGCTTAAAATTCCATTTTTCTAAAAATTAATTCTCCCAAATTTTACCAACTTCTACAACAATCTCTCCTACCCCCCAACCAAATAGGGAGGCCCAAGCCTTGTCCAAAAATCCCATAAGGCATCTCAAGATGAAATGGCTCCGCAACCTCCTTTCTGAGGAGTTGGTAGTGAAGTTTCATTAGTGAAGTGGGAGAATAATAATGATTATTTGCTCCCCTTGATGCAAATAGTTATAAATATATCTATGTATCATCAAATTTCATGTTGTATCAGAAAATGCAGATTGGAATAAAGTATTGAAAAACAAAATAGATTAGCACAGCCATTATCACATAAAGTTATTTGCATACTGTGGTGTTTGGATGCAAATAATGTTCTGAGCATGGTGGTTTAATTATTTTTATGATTATCACTTTTGTGACATGGCCCAATGATTATGAGTAGGTCTTCCAGTTAGGGGATCTTGAAAGAAACAAAGATAGATACATCTGTCTGAGGATTTTTTGATATCAGCTCTCTCTCTTGTAACTGCTTTTTTTAGCAAACTTTACAAAAAATTATTTAAAAGTTCTCTTCTTAGAGCAATATTTGACTGGTTATTGCTTTTACATGAGTATTGATTTCAGTGATTTCAGCGATGTTAAGCATTCTGAAAAAAAAAAAAACTTCATACCCACTGAAATAAAGAAAAGTAAAAAATAACACATTCGCTCACCATCCTTAAAAACAAATAGAACAAATACTAACCACTTTTGGCAAAATTATAATGAAAATTCCAACTAAAAATACAATAAAAAAGAAATTGCGCCTGCTGCAAGGTTAAAAACGGTGTTATTTATTTAATATCATAACTCATTTGTATTTAAGATGTGAAAATAAAAGTGAATCTTTACGCTTGGGAAAATTTAGGAAAAAATTATGCATTACTTATCACAGAGGGATTTATCTTCTTCGTGCTTACACTTATTTTTGAAAAGTACAGACAGCAAGGTTTCAATGCTTGTTCAGAACAAATTGTGAGTTCTCCTGCTGTAAACTACCAATGCTTATTTCAATGATTTTTTTTTTAAAGGTGAGCATGGACCCTCCGCCACATTTAGATGATGACGTTGAATCTGAGCGTAAAAGAATTTTGAATACTTCTGTCAATGATGTACTAGTCATGAAATGCCTTAGCAAAGTAAATTTATGAAAAACCAATATTTTCTTAAATCTCATTTTGAAATTTAATCATTTCTATGAACAACTGTAGGTCTATAAAGGCAGTAGTAATGTAGCAGTGAATCAGCTTTGTCTAGGAGTTAATAAGGGGGAATGTTTCGGATTACTTGGATTAAACGGTGCTGGGAAATCTTCCACATTTAAGGTATAGATCACTAAATTTTTGAAAAATTTCAATTACAGTTTGTTTTGATAGATGCTCACAGGGGACACAACCATCACTTTTGGAGATGCCACTATTAATGGAAACAGTATTAGAGAAAATATTAACAACGTTAAAAAATTTATTGGCTACTGTCCTCAGTATGATGCTCTTGATGCTAAACTAACTCCAAGAGAACATTTAACATTTTATTCTCACTTTAGAGACATACCTTCAGGCGAGATTGAAACTGTAAGAATTCTTCAAGATTATATTTCAAAATTTTCATTTTTTCTTAAAAATTAACACTTAATACATAATTGTCATTTAAGATATATTTCAATAGAACCTAAAACATCAAAGTTTAGAGAAAAGAAAATTATATTTTTCTTGTGCAAATTATCATAAAAAGTAGCGTAATCTGACCTAATAGTACAAGAGACTTATTAAACATGCCGTTTTGTAATAGATTGTAGATTCAACATTGGAAATATTTGATTTATGTAAATACAAAGATGTATGTACAAAATATCTTTCTGGAGGGAACAAAAGGAAATTGTCCACAGCCCTTGCCGTTTTTGGGAATCCTCAATTGATATTTTTAGTGAGTATTTTCAACTTTTCTTATATAGCGTAAATTAATATTATCTGTTGTAAGGATGAGCCGACAAATGGCATGGATCCAAAAGCCAGGCGGTACCTCTGGCAAGTAATTAAACAATGCGTAATCGGTGGAAAGGCCGTAATTCTCACGTCACACAGTATGGCCGAATGCGAAGCTCTTTGTTCGAGCTTAACCATAATGGTGAACGGCCATTTCACATGTCTTGGAAGCATCCAGCATCTGAAGGACAAGTGCTGTATTTTTTAAATATTCTATCGTAAACTTTTTTTTCATAACTTACTCATCACATCTTAGATACGGCCAAGGATACAATCTGGTTGTTAGAGCGCCAATAACTCAGCTACAAAGTGTAAAAGATATGGTTAATGAAAAAATCCCCAGGTGTTTGTTGAAGTCAGAGCATTATACGCAGTTAAAATATCACCTTGATACAGATGTTACTAATTTGTCGGAGGTCTTGACAAATCTTGAAAATGCAAAAGATGAAGGGTTAATTTATGATTACTCCCTATCTCAAAAATCTTTGGTTGAGGTATTTAACAGATTTAAATAGAAATTAATATAATTTTTAATAGGTATAATATTAGTTTTCTGGCTCTGTTTAGAAGGTTGACATCAGGCCACAGTACAAATATTTAGTTTGGCCTGATATCATCAACCTCCTAAACAGAATATGAAGCTGAGGCCCTCAACATCCCACCACATTATAGGATTAGTTTTCTAGATTTTTTTTTAACTTAAATTTTTTAACACTTTTTGAACTACCAAGGACTTTTTTTGTAATGCTGAATAAAAAACCAATGAGATTTCATTTCCCTTTATAAGAACGCAATCCAAATTTTACGATCTTTAGTTGATAAAACCACAGTGAAAAAAATTTAGGGCACTTTGCAAGAATCATATGGCAGTCCACAACCTATCCTTCCTCTCTTTTGACGACTAATTCATTTCGAATCCCATCAAGTGCAAATTATAAACTGACATCACCCATTCTTAAATATATTTTTCTATGTACAAACCTTTCACTTTAGTAAGGCAATGGAGTGCTCGATATTCCTTATCACCTTATACACAATAAAATAAGTAACTAAAGTTAAGGTTGATGATTTTCTTTATAGATTTTCCTGCATTTTGTTTCTCAAAGTGTGCCACAAAAATATGTTGAAAGGAAAAATTCCTGCCGGTGTTTAAAATCTCACGTCTGTAAGTAGCATCAGTACATAGTACAGGTTAAAGATTTACACACAGGAAAAAAAAAAGTTTGAAGTATTTCTTTATTGTTTATATCATTTAATCATTACATAACCTATAAATTAGCCAATTACATTTATGAACTTGTTCCAGCTTAACAATTCTTGGACAAGAACACTTCTGGTTTATTAAAATTGGAGCAACAATTGCATATTCACTATAAAAGTGTTCTAATCTCAAAATAAAAAATACATAGCTTTCATACAATTTTATTAGAGCAATAGAAATAACAAGTAACAATACAGGATAACAAATATATATTTTTAAAACACACTAAAATGGTCTTTGGTCAACTTTTAACTTTAAAGAATTATTTCAAATTATGCATTTTATGATAAAGGAAATAATTGCTATAAATATCACACTGTTTCGAACACTTGACGCAGTGTTTGGATTGGTGCGATCTTTTTGAAGATAAAACTGGACAACTTCATCATTCGGAATCCTTGTTTCATTACTCAATGACAATTTCATGCAGTGCTCTTCATCATCAACAACCTTATACGAATGATCCCAAACCTAAAATACATCAAAATTAGCGGTTATGATAAAAATACATTATATTGCATAATTACCATTTCACAAAACTGTTTCGCAGTTTTGAATTTATCCTTAATTGTTGCACATTCATTTTTGTGAGATTTGGAGCAATTCTTTGTGACAGTATTAATGTTATGGTACCAGTTGTCCGAACATGTGTAATCGTCAGAGCAAGCGTTAAACCAGTCATCACATTCTGACTTGCAGAGAGGAACATTTTTAAATCTTTGATAAGATTCACTTTCATTCAACTAGAAAAAAAATGATATATTATATTCAAAAAATAAAAAGTTATATTGATGAACAAAGTACCGGAATGAACCATAATTTCAAGTCAGGTGAGCATTCAAAAAAGCATGTCTCTTTTTTAAAGAACTCTTTGCAAGAAGAAGACATCGGTTTTTTGCATAAATTTTGTTCCAGCTTATGAACATCATCCGTGTGAATCTGCTTCGCCCTCTCTTCTGTACAGCAGGAAAGATTTCTCCAGGGCTCACACTAGAATTTAAAATTATAAAACTAACACTTGTGCATTTTGCTATTAAAATTAACATTCATATTTTAATTTTAATTTTACAATTTCATTTGGTGCATTAAGTCTGCACAATTAATTACATGTGTTATCTATTGATAAACTGCTTTTAAAATACTTGAAAGGTGAAAGAGAAGTAAGGCAAAGGAAGTTTAACCATGGCACAGTTCTTTTCAGCATGTGAAGAAGCAAGTTTGAACATGCGCCCCATTTATTAAAATTCAATTTTTAAAATGAATTTCATTTCAAATACCTCAAACATTTCTCCTTCATTGGGCAACGGGATTCTTTGGTGCGCATTCGAGGACAAGCATTGATTGATTTGTTCTCCTACGGCATGGTCCACTTTCAACACAGTTAGGACGGCAATAGCGACTAGTTTTGAAATCATCTACACAGATAAAATTGTATATGGTTTTAAAATGATTCACCTCATCGCCAAATTCTGCATAAAACTATGAAACTGAGCTCAATCAAATTAATAAAATATAGTAAAAAATATATAATTATTATTATTATACAGTGTGAATGAATTATTGAATCTATCATAGAATGTTTATTCTAATCAGAACAAATAATGAATTTGATGAAGAATAAAAAACTGTATATTTATAGTTATAATTTATAATTATAAGTTCAAATGAAAAGCAACTTACCATGTTGTTTCTTGCTCTGAGAATGATTAACAATTGGTTTTCGCTTGGAGAACAGAGTAAGGGTACATTTATTTGAACCTTGACCATAAGTAATCCCTAACATAATGTATACAGACACCACTCTTTTGTGGGTATTGAGTTTTTCATTTATTACTCACAAATATTTCATGTATAAGTAGTAGAATATATTATGCTGAATATATTCGATGTAAGAAAATAAAGCAGACCAATCAAGCTGCAATAATGTCAAAATAAAACATCAATCATTTAAGAAACAGTCTTGTTTAATAAATCTACTTAAAATACATTTTATTATGCAAATCGGTATTTGTAGGAGATTGAAGTTTAAACTTTGATGATAAATAAAATTCCCGTACAGTCTTACGAAATAGTTAACATATAACAAGTGCAAAGATATACAATTTTATGCTTTTTTTCTTTCTGGTGTGGTGGTGGTGGTGGTGGTGGTGGTGTGTGTGTGTGTGTGTGTGTGTGAGAGAGNGAGAGAGAGAGAGAGAGAGAGAGAGAGAGAGAGAGAGAGAAAATGAGTAAAATAAACATGGCATCTGGTCATCTGCTGGAAGTTCAGATCTACTTTGAAAAGGAATCAAATGGAAAATTAAATTGAGCAAAGAAAATCAAAGAAAAAGAGCACAAAACGTGAATATAGGGTGAGGACTGAAAAAAAGGCAGAATGAAAGATTTAATTTAAACTAAAATGAATTTTTTGAATGTATCAAATAGATTAAAAGTACTCTTGGATCATCAGATAGTGAATTAGAATCTGCGGTATTTCCAGGCTGATCTGCAGTTTTTTGCCATCTACCCAGCAAGCCGAATGCCTCTTCATATAAAATTAAAAGTAAATCTGGTACAAAACGCAATATAAATTATTGATTTTAATAATAAAAAATAATTTGAATTCAAACCATAACTTTTTATACTTTGATTTCTGTCGTCGCCAATAATAAAAAAAGTCATGTACTGCTGAATTGTTCATTCTCTGGCCACCATCCTGACAAATTATCCAATCACATATCAATTTACAACCCAGAAGCTCTATGCTGTCAAAATTGTCATCAAAAGTCCACTGATAAAAAGAGATTGTCCCACACTGTCCATAATGACTTCAATGAAATTCAGGAATAATATTTTAACTTGATTATTTTTTCTCTTAGGCTTTCGGAAATTTAAAAAAAAAAAAAAAAAAAAAAAAAAAAAAAAAACGACAAAAACATAAGAACAAACTACGTTTCTCAAGGGGCTGGCAGTCCTGGGCCCAAGCACCATATTTCTTCTTTTCCTCCCAGTAATGCAAATAAATTCAATTAGAACCAAAAGAGGCAAATGCATTTATTTTATGATGATAGAGTCGTACAAATAAATAGTTAACTGCTTCAACCAATTTAAGTTGGAGCAGTTCACTATTTATTTGTATGATCTATCATTTGAAAAAAAAAAGGAAGAGGAGTAGTAATTTAGATGGATTTTTCGTTCGGAAGCCCTAACAATTTTAACTATTTCAGTTAAAGTTTGGTATTGCGGTAAGTTATTCGAAATATACCCTTAGACGGTTTTAAACCATGAGGAATGTCTATCTTGCTTTATAATATATAATTATAATCTGTAAACTTTGTATATATATTAAACAATAAAGACATATAGTAGTAGTAGTATTCGAAATATATTTTGAAGTTTTGAACCCCTGTGTTTGTCAATGGTTGAACAACCCCACCTGTCCTACGCATGACTTGAAAAGTTTATTTGCATAACTATAAGCCGAAATTGTAGCGACGTCCGTTATTTCAGGTAATAATTCAAAAATATTATCAAAATATTATTATTATTTTAGTCGAAAACTTAGTTCAAATTAATTATCCTAAGGGGTTAAAAATCGTGAGACGGTGGGATTGGCACAACACTGTGCCCGCGCGGCCGTTTAGCTGGAGGGAAAAAGCGAAGTGGGGAGAGAAACACGTGGGATAACCAACGTTGAAAACGAACTTGGTACGCTCCTTTAGCTTGGTACAACAGAAGCTGCCCCGGCTTATATTTCTTCTCCGGTATTTTAAGTAATTTTTTAACCTAAAACTTCACAGGTGAGTCGCATTTTCTTTTGTTCTCTCGTCCAATTTAAAGTCCCGTTGCAGTTTATCATTTCGATTATTTTCAATTTTAATTATATAGGCCTCGAGATAAAAGTACTTGTTGCTTGTATCTATCTCAGGCGCGTCTTTTCCGATTAGCATTTATTTGGGCCATTTTTTAAATATTCAGTCATCCTGAATTTTAAAAAAACTAACCGTTTTCCGATTTTTGATCAATTTGTTTTATTTATAAGATGGCACCTTCAAAGACCAACCTGAAGAGGAAAACGTCAATAACCCCGAGTAAAACACCGACGAAAAAGGTTCGGAAATTAATCTTATCAGGTACGTTTATTTTTATTTTAAATTCATACATTTAAATGAAATTAGGCTTATATTGGAAAGTTGAAAACACCGCCCAACCCTAAAATGTTAAAATAAATAGGCTTATAAGTTTTCAACAGAAATTAAGTTGTGAAAAAAGTACACTATCTCTCAAAAAGATCCCCCGTTGAATCAATTTTTTAGTCTGTCCAAACTAAGTACACTCAGTAAAAAAAGTCTCCGAACGCCGGTCAGTAAAATAGAATCAAGCCTTTTAAATAATAGGCTAAATTAGCACAGTGTCTCGCAGCTGTAAACCTTTTAATAACCAACAAAAACCGTATAACATTTAATAGTATTCAATAAAATAAAATTAAAATATTGGTACAAAAATCAACAGTCTACAAATCTGATGTAATTTATAAAATTAATCGTATAAACTGTCCACGTACATACAATGGAATTATTACATCGCAATAAATAGATAAAAGTTAAAACACCAACAACCAAACCCACAGCATTGGCCACACACCACTCTGAAAAATAACACAACTTTGATTTTGACAAAATACCAATCGTAAATACGGAGAAAAAAACTTATACAAATGCAACTTTCTAGAAATGGTTTACATTGACACAGTCACACATAGCATTAATTTCTGAACAGATAGATACAAACTCAGCCATAGCTACACTAACACCATAAAGCAAATAAACTATTAAACTTTAGTTTTATTTTCCCCATTCCGTCGTTAATAATTAACTTTCTTTCCAATATTAAATGTCGATCATCACAAATCCCATCCAGAAAATCCCCATTCTTGACTTCTTTTGTGTTAAATAAAACCGCCTAGAAGAAATTTTCCAAGGTTTACTGCATCACCCACCCTGTCACAAGTCAAAAACAGCAGAGTACAAATTCATGTTTCACAACTCACACAAAATCAATATGACACCACGAGAATAGCACCAAACTTTTCATGAATATGAAATATTTGGTTCAAAATTTATATTAACATCTTAAATTGTATTTTGTTCCCTATCGACATGTTTTGTAATTTACCCAGGCCCTGAAGATAGATGACCCAAATAAAGGTTGAAAGGTCGGCAAAAAAATGAAAAGGTGTTTTTCTAAACTACCTCATTCTTGACCGCTCCTTATGACTTCAACAGATTATGAAACAACACGTCACTAAGAAACACAGTATTCAATATGTAGAAATTAACCAAAATATACATACACTTTGTATCAAGGTATGGTCCTGAAAAGAAAAGCAAATTCACTTGTTAATTCCAAGCTTTCGATTTATTTTAAGGTCATGAGGGTAAAACAATCTTAAAACGTCTACATATTGGCATAATTAAGTTTTTTTGAAGACTCAGCCTAACATTGCCAAGAACTGTGGCATATGTGTGTGTGTGTGTGTGTAGATATATTTAAAATTGTTTTGCCCTGATGATGACCTTAAAATAGGTCGAAAGCTGGGCAGTAACAACTGAATTGGCTTTTTCTTCAAGACCGTACCTTGATCCAGTGTTCGGGAATGAAAAAGTGGACCGCATCTCACATCTCCGAATAATCACTGAATTTAAATTTGTTTCTAATGTACTAGCCATATAAGCTTTATTTTCTAATAAAATCTCAATAAGAAATATCGAATCTCTTTTGGCTTAAAACTCTGATCCTCCCTATGTTTGTTCTGTACACTGTTATGTACTATATAATATATTATGATGCAGTTATTTTATTAGGACATAATTTTTAAAAAAATCTTAAGATATACACAATTTTGTTCACAAGATTTTTATTTAGCAAGGGGAGAATGTAATTACTAATTAAATAAACAGCATTAAAGTAGCTTACTTAGAATTTTCAATAATTATTTGGTTTTCAGAAATTACTGAGACCACCACTTTTGAAACTGAAAACAAGGAGCCTTGTAATGTTATTGTGATTGGGGATGGTGACACCGGCCAGTTAGGCCTCGGCCCTGATGTTACAGAGAAAGCGAGGCCAGCTGTAGTTGCCAATTTAAAAGATGTTGTAGAGGTTGCCGTCGGAGGGATGCACACAGTTGTTTTAACTAAAGATAACAAAGTAATTTTTTTTTTTATCACTGCTTACATGTTGTAGGACATGATTGCCAATAGAATATTTTGCAGGTTTTAACTTTTGGCTGCAATGATGAAGGTGCTCTCGGGAGAGATACAAGTGTTGAAGGCTCTGAAACTTCACCTGCCCCAGTTGACATTCCAGCAAAGGTTGTGCAGATATCAGCTGGGGACTCTCATACTGCAGCGATCACAGATGAAGGTCTTCTCTATGTTTGGGGTACATTTAGGGTTAGTTCTATTTTTTTTTTTACATGTTTTTCTCCATTCATTAATAAATATTGTAGTCATTGGAATAATTTTGGTAACGTATTTATTTTTAATAAAAATTATTTGTTGCAGGATACTCATGGATCGATGGGTCTATACCAGAAGGAAATTGAAAAGTTTCCTATATTGATTAAAAGTAGTGTAAAATTTTCAAAAGTAGCATCAGGAGCTCACCATTTGGTCCTCTTAGGAGTTAATGGGAATGTATATACATCTGGTTGTGGGGAGCAAGGACAGTTAGGTCGTTTGTCTGAGCGTGCAGCCCATAGATATTCCCGACATGGTTTAGGTAGGCTGGTTCTTCTAAAAGTTTAATTTTCTATTTATGTAACATCAATAATTTCTCGCTTTTATTTAAGGGCGCCTTTTAACACCGACTTTGGTAAATATGCCATTTTCCGTTCGGAATAAAATTAATATTGTTAACATCTGGACAGGATCATACAACACATTTGTCCAAAATACAAATGGCGACGTGTATGTATTTGGTTTAAATAACCACAATCAACTGGGGATTGATAATTCCTCTGAAGGTTAGTTTTTACTTCCCATATTTTTACATAATTAATTGCAGTATAATCAGTTAAGTGTTAAGAAATGTTCAATTAGTTAAGAAGTGAGGGGTAAAAATAAAAAATCAGGGTGCTGTGTTGGGCAAATGGCCTTTGGTTTAAAGAGAAACGTTTGTTAGGTAAAAGTGTTAGGAGTCACTTTTAGCGTGTTGGAGTGAAATGAAAACAAGATATTGAGTGTATACCAAATTTTATTTTAACATAAAGCAGATGCTGAATGGTACATATTTATTTTGATGACAATTAATAACACTTTTGTCAAGTTCGCTCAATATGGCAGAAATTATTTTAAGGACATAGCTTGTCATCTTTGGTCGATGCTTTGTGGGTATATGTACGGCACTGAAGATAAACAGCATATGATCCCACACTACAAAGCCCAGGCATTTATTTATTACCAGCATTATGTTTTCTTGATTATACTTTTAATTTAAAGGTGGCCCTAGACATGCTGTATTGGGTGAATGCTGATTGCCGCTGAATATTTGCCAAGTCTAGAGATGCTCGTCTTGGCATTTGCCAAATAGCATGCTTATGTATTGCTGCAGCGGTTACTGTTTCGGGCAGTGGCTACAAACTAATTTAAAAAATATATTTAATTATATATTTTTTTTTTTTTAATAAAAAATTTATGGTTTGTAAGAGAAGCTTTCCAAATGATTGGTTCTGTTTCATAAACATTGAGGAACTCCAAAACTGTTGTTTTGGGCCAGTCCATACATAGTAAAAACAAAACTTGTTATTGCATAAATTAATACATCTATACTAGTTAGGAATCGTTTATTAATGGAAAAATAAGTAGTATTAAATAGAAGTAATCATCCCTAACCATTAAATAGACGTATACACTTAATGTTGATTTTTATAACAGTTGATTTTTAAACGTGTGGATGGTTTGAGTGTGGTTACTTTAGAAATATTCATGACCTTTGAAGCGGACAAGATAATCGACAATAAGCCGAGCACAGTGAGTACTGAATATTGTTGCTCGGTTATTCACCAAGCATCCATCCCCATTAGTTGGGATTGGGTGAAACTTTGCTTGGCAATTGGTGAATTCCACATATCTGGAGCCACCTTCAGATCTTGGTTAAGATGAAAAAGATAATGTCATGAGCAGGATTCGAACCCACGACCTATCATGACTTCGAGCTCAAGTGGTTACTGCACCAGCGTACTGAGCTGAAGATCGTGGGCTTGAATCCAGCTCGTGACGCTACCTTTTTCATCTCAACTAGATTAATATTATATTTAATGAAAATAATACAGTGAATTATGCCTACTAAATGGATATTTATATATTTTCAACTGGCTTTTGCACAGACTGAGACTCCTTTATTAAATTTCCAGTTTCTTCACATGCTTACTTTAGCTTTTACAAAGAATTATTGTATGAAATACACTTTTTACTTAAATTGTTCAATCACTAAGCTCTTGCCAACCATCACGAATTCAAGGTTGTATCAGCAAGCTGACCATATAAGCTAAATAATGACACTGCATTTAAGTCTCTGAGACTAATATTTAGGGAGTTACTAAAGGCAAGATGATACAAACCATTTTGTTATGGTATAACTTTCTGTTCTATATATTTCACTGTGATTTTAAAGACATTTTACATCAAAATGTTACCAATTATGAAGATTCGACAAATGAACAATGTTTTCTAATGCTGTCATATTTTCTATTTGTAGATAAACTAAACCTTGGATGCTGATTTCAATGTTTTGTTTTAGATAATAATGTTTACTTTCATCCTACATTGAGTAAAACTTTATCCGGAAAGAATTGGGTAAAGATTTCTGGTGGAGAACATCATACACTTGCCTTGGACGATACTGGTATGGAATAGATTGTGTACGATTTTATTGTGTACGCTAAAGAAAATTTTTAACGTTTTCAGGTACAGTCTATGCTCTCGGTCGAAAAGAGTACGGTCGGCTTGGCCTGGGAGAAAACTGTTCAGATGCTGTTAAGCCCACTGAAGTAAAAATTGGAGAAAATGAGAAATGTTCAGACATTTCTTGCGGGAGTTTTACATCCTTCGCTATTACTAAGGATGGTAAATAACCTATTGAATTCTTGTGCTGGACTTAAAACTAATCTCCAAATTGTCATAGGAAAACTCCATTCTTGGGGTATGAGCTCTAACATGCTTGGTCATGGCGATAGTGGTGATGATGTGTTTGTACCTACTTTAGTTAAGGGGAAGCAGTTGGAAGACAAAACAGTGTTGAAAGTAGCAGGCGGAGGGCAGCACACTGTGGCACTTATCAAGGCATGATATTTACAAAATAATAGTCCACTTTGAACAGACACTTAATTTATTTTGTACATATCTTTTAATAAATAGTTTTAGGAAAACTAATATCTGATGTTATGTATATAATCTTGTATTAAATGTAATAACTGTAGATGGTTTACATACAATGTCTCTCCTGTTTAAGAATTTGTAGTTTTTGTTGTAATGTAATTATTTTTACTTTGCTGCCTTACAATTTTTTTAAATTATTTTTTAAGTGAAATTTTGTGATTTAATTGATTCAAAATTTATTTATTAACATTTCAACTCTACTTGTCATTATTTGTGCCATGTTCGCAGATTAGTTTGTTCTAGCCCTAGACCATAATTTAGATTGTCTTAAATTTCATCCTCATGTATTGCTCTTTTTCTTCTCTTTTTTTCTACACATATTTGTTTTAAATAATTTTTATGCTAAAACAAATTCTTAAGTTAATGCATTGTGTATTCTATAGAATAATGCAGTCACATCATGTTTTGTTTTTTTTCTGAAAGAGTGAAAATATGTTTTTATCAACAATTTGTTGGAAAAATAAAGGTTTTGACCTTATTCAAATTTGTTATAGTAGATAAATAGACAAGATGGATTGTACTATTATAACAACAGTATCATATTGAAAGAAATTAATGACCTGACACAGTACACACTTTTGGTCATTGCTAACTTTCTTTAGCATATTATTAACTAATTCAATGTTTGATTTATAAACAAATAATTATGTTCCTTTTTGTTTTCAGTATGAAATATATTTTAGCATTTTCAATGTAATATACCTTTTAAATAAGTTAATTAAATAACCTAGCAGATTATTTTCCAGATAACGTCTTAATAAAAACAAATGTTTTGAGAATATATATTTTTTTTAATCCTACTTTTAAATTTTAATATTTATTATGATTTTATGTTATCACCTTATATCCAGTAGATTTACAAAAATTTAAATCTAACAAATTGATTTGAGTTGAAGACAGTTGATTGTTTGGTTGACAGTTGTTTTTACTGTTTTTTTTTAAATGAAAACAAGTAATAGGAATGAGTATTGAAGTTTTAGGTACTACAATTAATTAAGGTTTTTAGTTGAGATAAAAAAGTCAATGGCACAAGCGGGATTCGAACCCACGATCTTCGGCTTGATATGCCGCTGCTTGAGCTATCATGACCTCGATCCACTCGGACACCAACTTCCTATCTCAACCCCACCTTTTGAATTTTCCCTCCTTTTTGCCAGTTTTCAAATGTCGTGTAATCGGGTTGGATTCTCGACAACAAATGAAATGGCCACGGAGAGCTTTAGTGAAGTATACTTCATTTTTAAATCATTAAATTCACTAATTTCGTGGTCCGCTTGACTTATTAAATGGTCAAGCGGACCACGAAATTAGTGAATTTAATGTTTTAGGTATTGTTGGTTTAAAGGTAGACATCAACGCTGAAACTCCTCGTATCTGTGGTACTCGTAAGATTTTAAACTGTCGAAAACAGTTTTCAATATTGAAATTTTAAATTTAAGTTAATCGTTTTTTTAAGGGAAATCCAGTTATTGGATCAATGTTGAAGTTTTAGATACGATAATTGATTTAGATGTAGACATCAACACTCCAGCTCTCACCTCTGGTTCTTCTAAAACTCAAAACTGTTGAAAACCAGTCAGTTTTCATTCTTACAAATCAGTATTTTGATTGAATCATCAGTGCTCATTCCACTACATACACACTCATGTATATAAAATAATTTAACAATTACAAGGAAGGAAAGTTTTTGTCGTTGATTGTGAAGGAAAATTGCTTATGTAAATTATCAACAAGGGCACTTATTCCTTTAAAACATTTATAAAAATCCCATATTAAGCAAGCAAGTTGCTTGTGCCATTGCACTCGAGGCTATAAGAAATCAGTGGCACATGTTTTAGTTTACCTTTTAGTCTGTTGGGCATTTGGTGGTACTCGCAGACCAGTATCGGGACGCCCAAGAGCCAGGGAACAAACTGATAATTTATCCGATTGTACACTCTGAAAAATGGCTTTTCCACTGCTTCTGAAACATCTCAGACTTTGAATGTGACTATTATAAGCGACGATCGAGCCGGCGTATACACTAGGAGGAGGTCTTTAGGCCGACCGAACGTCAAAGCTGTTGAAGTTATTGCCACTAGTCCAAACCACGACCAAGGCCAACCACTTCGTTCCGATTTGCCTCCCATAAACACCAAGCAAATCACGGCCAATGAATTGGTTTGAATAGTGTGTACACATCTTCGGGTTCAGTGGTTACCTGGAACCATTATCAGATGTTTTGTTGTCTTCCATATCCTTAATAAAGGACCTCTCAGACGTCTCAGACCACTCAGTTTTTAGGTCTCTTATTAAAAAAAAAAAAAAAAAAAAAAAAAAAAAAAAAAAAAAAAAAAAAAAAAAAAAAAAAAAAAAAAAATGTTTAAATTACGATATGAATAATATAAAAAATGGAAGAAAAACTTTTTTTTTGTCTTTTACCCTTTCCACCACCCCGCCGTACCTGAGGAAGACCACATACTGGCGGACATTAACTTAATGAATGTATATATCTAAGGGACTTCAAATAATAAATGGGATAAAATTACCTCCCAACGATCTTTTCTTCAGGCGAGACCGCTGGTCGGTTTTCGAAGGAACAATATTTTCATTTTGAAACCTAAAACAAAAGGTTTTCCCCTGCTGGGTTCCCCTTGCACATTTACATTTTCTTGATTTTCTCTTCTATATATTTATATTATCTAAAATTTTCTTACTAAGAAGAGGAAAACAGCCCGGAACCCTAAACCTAAACCTATGTTTAATTATGCAATAAATAAATAAATAATGGTAATAAAACTCTAACAATAACAATATTTAGGACTTAGTAATAAGAATAAATAGGGACTTGTTCATTTAAGTGTAGTTGAGGCAAAGTCTTTTAGTGCTGCAAGTGATTTATCACAGACTAGTTTATGGAGATTAGGCGAAAAAGAAGAAAAACTATAATTCCAAGGAAAAACAATTATATCTTGAGTGGTGCTGATTTAATACCTAAAATTTTGTTTGTAATTTTTTCTCTACTTGCAAATTTGCCTATTTAATCCAACTTTTGTTAGAATTGATGCACTGTTGCAAATAAAATCGTCTAATGACATTATTTAATATTTACATAATGGTTGAAAATACAATTTTTTATCTCTTCCTACCTTAAAAAAACTCAACTTCTCAAATACCGCTCAGTTTTCCAGCCTCTTATTAAAACAAAAAAAAATTAAATTATTTAAATTAAGATATGAATAACATAAAATAGAGAAGTTAAAAACCATGTAATTCTAAGGAAAAAGTTATTTCTTGAGGTGAATTGATTTAATTATTTCCTTGAAAACGTGTCCATTTAATCCAAATTTTGTTAGAATTGATGCGCTAATGTCTACAGTATAAATATTTATTACAGTATAAATATAATAAATTACCGATAGAACATTTAATTTTTCATAATTGTTTTTAAAATGACTTTTCTCTATTATATAAAAGAATAGAAGGAAACAACCATGTAATTCTAAATAAAAACTGTTATTTCTTGGGTGGAGTCGATTTAATTCTCTCCTTGAAAACAGTACAAATATAATTCAATAACAATTATAGACTTAATTTTTAATAAATTTTTTTAAAATGTCTTTTCAACATTATATGAAAGATTAGAAGAAAAAACCATGTAATATTAAAGAAAAATGGTCATTTCTTGTGTGTAATGTACTACATGCATAAAATTTTATCAGTAAGTTTGTCCTCTTAAAAACTTTTCCGTTTAATTCTAATTTTATTAGTGATGACCGGCAGTATAAATGTAATATTAATTGCATGACAACTTATTTCATTCACCAATGAATAAGATTATGAGAGAAAGAAATATATGTCCAAGATAAGATAATAAGAAATATATGTAGTTATTTTTTCATCTGAATTGAAATACATTTAAATGTAACTTAAAAACATTAATTTTATAGATTGTTTTTTAATAAATATAGTTGTATCATATAAAATATATTATATTTTTACATAAAATATATAAATATAGTTAACAAATATATAAAATATATGCTTATTAATGTTTGATGTTGTTTTCTTTTATTTATACATTTTGTTTATCTACTACTTTAATTGTTTATAACCTCGTGATTTATATGGAAAAGGATCTTTGATCCTTTTGTATATTTAAAAATATAAAATCAATTTAACGGCGATTTTGTGGAATAGTTGTTTAAGAGGGGCCGCGGAGGGAAATTTCATTTCTCAATCTGGCAAACCTGCGTCCCCCGTTCGACTGTTCAAAGGCGACCGTTAAAAGGACGGCAACTGTCGAAGACCGTTTTATCTGGGCCGACTGGAAGGAAAAAAGGAAAAACTTCACAGACGGAATGTCATCACAATTCTGATAGGAACACCAAATAAAACAATGAACGGTTTTGGCAACTCCATTTTCCAAAAAGGCCAGGGAAACGCGGCCTCGGCGAACGGGTAAGCCAATTCAAATGACACCTGTTCACTCATGATTTTCAAAATTTTATTTAACGTTTTATTTTTTTCAACTTTTACAAACTTACGGTGTTTTGTTCGAAGACATACGAATACTCGTCGCCTTGTTGATTTTTTTTTTTAGTAGAAATGCAAACTAAAACAATTAATTTATTGTTTTATTTAAATTGTTTCAAAAGTGTGCGAAACGTTTGTAACGGGCTGCTCCTGACTAAGTTCATTGTTTATAAGTCTGGAAAGGAAAGAATCCAAGATTTTAACTGACAATCAACAAATATTCAAATAGTACATGGTTATTTAGTATTTCTTACGTGTGACAAAATTTTCAAGAAAATGTTAAAACGTTACTCATCTTTATTACAATATTCACCTGGACACCTTCAGACTGAACGACCTGGTGAAACTGTATGAGCAGTAAAGAACACAAAAAAATGTTGGCAGTGTCAATAGGCTAGATCGTTCAAGAAGCTCTTGCGTGTCAAGAGTGTGACTGAGCGATGACCCACTGAAGGCCTGAAACGCAAGGCAGTGCTCACATGTTTGAGGATAGGCCATATCGATTGACACATTAACAACTAATAATCAATAAATTTGCAAAAAGTAAATGCTTTTTATTATTTAAGTATGACAACAGTTGTTAGAAAAAATACTAAAACATTTCTCATCTTAATAACAATACTTATCCAGGCATAGGCTGGAATGCAATGAACGCAGACAAGATGGCAAAAGCCTACAGATGCTCTATCCGGCCCGATGATGCTGTACGAGCAGTAAAGAACACGATAATTTTTTTTTTAAAGCTAGTTTTACTCACAATTTGTTGTTCAATGGTGGGGAGATTATGTTGTTGAATCTTTTGAAAAAAGATTTAATTTAATTTTTAATTTTTATTATTTTTTTAAAGATTAAGGAACTTACCCCACCTTTATCATTTCTATCAATAAAAAATGTTGGTAGTGTCAGTAGGCTAGATCATTCCTTGTGAGACGAGAGTGTGACTGAGCGATGGTTCTCTGAAGGTCTGAAACACAAGGAAGTGCTCACATGTTTGAGAATAGGCCATATCGATTGACACAATAACAACTGATAACTAACAATCGATAAATTTTCTAATAGTAACATGGTTTTTATTACTTAAGTTAAGTATGACAAAAGTTTTTAGAAAAATGCTAAAACATTTCTCATCTTAATAACAATACTTATCCAGGCATAGGCTGGAATGGAACAAACGTGCAGACAAGGTGGCGAAAGCCTACAGACAGAACACTCAATCCAGCCCAGTGATACTGTACTATCAATAAAAAACAACAATTTTTTTAAAAGATAGTTTTACTCACAGTTTGTTGTTTAAAGATGGGGAGAGTATGTTGTTGAATTTTTTTACAAAATATTTATTTTTATTTTTAAATTTTTTTAAAGATTAAGAAATTCACTCACCCCACCTGGATTATTTCTATCAATAAAAAAATGTTGGTAGTGTCAATATTCTAGATTGTTACTTGCGTGACAAGAGCATGACTGAGCGATGGTCAGAAGTGAAGGTCTGAAGCGCAAGGAAGTGCTCACACGTTTGAGGATAGGCCATATCAATTGACACATGAACAAATGACAATTAACAATCAATAAATTTGCGTAAAGTAAATGTTTAAGTATGTAAAATATGCCTTTCAAAAAAATATACTTGACATTTTTAAGAAATTAACAATACAGGCAAATGACAAATGCTTAATTTTGGTTAAAACAATTACTGATGATCAAGTCCACCACTGCTGAGAATAAATTTATAAAAAATGTGAGTGTATGTATAAGTGATGCAGTTGTAAAGTCCGGTGTGTATAATATGCTGCACCATTTGAGAACTTAATCCCCTGTTTTTAGTTATAGCACACCTGTGAGTTCTAGCTCATCAAGAGATTAAAGCTACGTTGTATAATCCAAATCACTTTCTCCTGTGGTGCCCTAGGTGTGTTGGTCCTCTTCTTCTTTACTGAATCGGCACTTGTCTTGCTTGTAAAGAAAGGTTGCTCAGTGAGACTGCAGAAAAGGAATTGTTGGGTGTGCCACCTTGTCAGTAGTAACAGCCAGTTGTTTCTTGAAAGAGGCGAGGGACTCAGACAAATATATAGTATATGTTAAAGAAATAAAGACATAATAACAAAGATAAAGAAAACTAAACTTTTTAAAAATAATGATTAAAACACTCTAGATTTAGGTCATTAGCCTATTTATTTAAATCTTTGGTAACTGGCAGTCAATGAAAATTTAGTTCAAGGAGAATAACAGGATGGATTTATGGAAAATAACCTGGATTTAATTTTACTTAATTTATTTGATTAATTTCATCAGCAAACAAACCTGATAAATTAAAATAATAATAATAAATATTCGTATATGGAATTAAATCTTTTCCGCTTGGAGCATCTGATTCATAAAATACTATGGTAGTCTGACAACATGTCACATGGAATTTCAGGTGGTTTTGCTAATTTTTGTTGCTTAATGTTATTTTGTTAATTTTTATTTAGGGGCAGGACTCCAATATCAATGTCCAAAACGAAGTTGACGCCCAGAAGTGTTTCAAACTACAAAGTATCCACGCCAAAAAGCACTCCTATCAAGGATGAAAACACTAAACCTCTTTTTACGCCTAAGTGTGAAACACCGCTTTCCCATCACAACAGAATTAACAGAGGAAAACATGGAAATTCTGGCAAAAAAGTTAATAGTGAGCCGATCAAAACGGACAAAACCCCATTTACGACCTACAACTCAAAATCTGTAAACTCTCCAAGCTCGCAAAAAACAGTAACTACCTACAGTTCTGTCCATACAACTCCTGGAAAAAGGGATAAATTCTTAGTTGAATTTAAGTAAGTATACATTTATGCAACATATTAATAAATATTGTGCACCACTGTGTACAAAATAAGTTTGTTTTTCTTTTCTTTTTTCTTTCTTTTAATCTGAACGAACTTGCATTTTATTAAAATTTTAATTTATATTTTTTCCCTAAAAGTAAACTACGTAGGTGGGAAAAAAAGACAAATGAAATGTTAGATAGATAGTGTTCCATTATTTTGAATTAATGCAGGCAAGATCATTACAGATCACTATTATTTAGTAAATAAACATGTTATCTTTATTATAACATTTATTTGTCTGAAATGTAACCAGCTGCTTCAATGGCAACATATTTCATTTTTTAATATATTTGTCATTGCTTGTCAATTAATTTCCCATTTGAAATAATCCACATAAAAATAACATTGATTCAATTGTAAACAATGATTTTGTCATATTTTATTTGCTCATATGATTCCTGAATCTTAGTATTGTGTATATTTTTTAAAATTCACAATACCTTTGCCCTTGCTTTCATTAAAGGTACAATGATGTAAGGTGTTGTTGTTTTCAGCGATGACATACTTATAACACCAAAGCACCTTTTCACTGATAATGGCGGGGCAACAGTTTCGGTAACGTCGACATCAACAGTTTGCATTGAAACACCAATGTCGAGGAAAAAAGGAGCTTCACCTTTTAGTAGTCCGTTGAACAGATCCCTGTCAACGAGCTCTATAGTCAGGAGTTCAAAGTCTGAGTCTGCAAGCTCGAATCTTAAGAGATGTCAGTCAGAAGCCCAACTCTCAGTAGACACTTCACCGAACTCAGAGGCTTCCACCAACCCTGGCTGTAAGGAAGGGGAGAGCAGCAGGGTCACCGTGGGTGTTAGAGTCAGGCCATTACACCAAAGGTATCAGTATCAAAAAATATTTGAGTAGTTTATTTTAGTTTTCTTTCTAAAAGGGTTCTTTAATTTCCAGAGAACATGGAAATGCAGTTTTTGTTAAGGGGCGGGAAGTGCGTATAGCCAGTGATATGGGGGCAGTTCATCGGTTCACTTATGATAACTGCTTTCCTTCGTCTGGTCCAGAAGCTGCTTCTCAAGAACAAGTTTATGAAACTCTTGTAAAACCGTTGGTTGACAATGCTTTTGATGGTTATAATGCTTCCTTATTTGCATATGGTCAGACAGGCTCAGGGAAAACATACAGGTATGTTCATTTTTTTAATAAAATCATTTTCCACCCTTTGGTGGTAAACCTTTTTCAATGTATGTCATTGCTTTTTTTTAACTTTAATTAAGTGACTTAAACAATTTGTTGTATGTTTGTATACTATAGTTAGAATGTATTTTTTTAACAGCATGATGGGTTCACTTGAAGGACAAATGACCATCACTGAAGAAACTGGTATTATTCCAAGATTTTGCAAAGAACTCATTTCAAGAATTTCAGCCCTCGATGAAAATGGTTCTGGAGACACAAACAAACCGACTGTCACTTCAAATATTGAAATTTCCTATTTAGAAGTGTACAATGAAAAGATCCACGACTTACTCGTCCCAGGATCCAATGCATTAAAAGTGCGAGAACACCCTGTGTTCGGCCCTTATGTTGTCGACTTGACTAAAAAGTCAATTGCTTCATTTTCTGAATTTCAGGTGAATTACAGTTCAGTTTATTTTTGACAGGCAATTTTTATTTCAGTTTATGATTTTTTGTTTTTTTGTTTGAAGCATTGGCTCGATGTTGGAAATAAAAAGAGAGCAACTGCTGCTACTGAAATGAACGATAAAAGTTCAAGATCTCATTCTATTTTTACTGTGATATTAACACAAACTTTTGTACAGGTTTGTTTTTTTGTATTTCACTAATGTATTTTAGATAATAATTTAAGATCATATTATATTAGGTTGGGGAAGGAGGAAATTGGAGCCATGACCACACTAGACGGAGTCAAATTAATTTAGTGGATCTTGCTGGAAGTGAACGGATAGCACATACTTCAGTGTCATCTGATAGATTAAGGGTATGGCAAATTGATATTTTACTTTCAAAAACATATAATTCTTATAGCTAACACTATACTTTTTAACAGGAAGGAGTTAGTATCAATCGATCACTTTTAACGTTGGGAAAAGTGATAACTGCTTTGGTCGATAAAAGATCTTTCGTGCCTTACAGGGAATCTGTACTGACTTGGCTTTTAAAGGTAAGTTTTTCTTTTCTTTCACAAAATAAACAGTAATAATATTAATAAAAATAAATTCTTAAAAATGTAAAATAAACTGTTAAAGAATCTGAATAATTGTTTAAAACAAACTCATGGCATTCTTATTTGACAAAATATTATGGAGTATTATGCATTCCAAAAATAATACAGCACACTTTTAAAAAATGATATAACAGCACAACATATCAAGAGATGTGAGCTTGAACAGACTTGTCAGAGTTTTCTATCAGTAGTTCCTTTTTGGTTGGCATGCATTTGGAATGATTTTTTTCTTCAAATTTTTAGGCTTATTTAAATCTTTTAAAAGTAATTATTGAATTGTAAGAATTATGTAATTTTGTTGTCCATGGCTAATTATGAAAAATCCTAATAACTTCACATCAAAAAGTGTACTAAGGCCTCATGTCCTATAAAACCAGAAATTTGCAAAAAGTGCAGATTCGTACGAAAACGAGCAGACAGTCTAAACACGTGTCCATGCCATCTATTTTGCCTCTCCTGCTCTTAGACTTCCACCCTGAAGGGTTGTTCCGATGTTCATCAACCCTAGTCGCTAGTCGCCTTTAAGCCAGATGCCCAGATCACTTCTTATCCAACGGGGTTAGGCTCTAAGAGGGGCTGTCGACAGCTAGTCGTTTTATGTATACTTTAATGATTTGGTATTATCATGAAGATGAATTGGCCCCTTATGGTTTACCAATGCTGGACAAAGACATTGCAGTTTTTTGGGCATTTTGTCAATTTCTTGGCAGTATTTCTCTGCCGTGTTAGTTTGACCATAATCAGGAAATTATAATGAACAACCCCAGCAGTACACCACCATAACCATTTTTTTTTTTTTTTTGCTTTGTTTTGGAACATTCAGCAAGAGTGCGGACCTATTAAATATCAAATTCCATTTTTTAGCATGACTAGAAATTCATAAAGCAATAAATACATAACAAGTAACGAGAGCAATAAAGATTGATCGACACAATAAGTACTAAGAATAAAAAATTTTGGTGCGAAAACAACAACAGCAAAGAATAACAACAACATGAATAAATAAAGGTGCAGACCTACCAAATAACAAATTACATTTTGACAAAACTAACAATTTGAAGATTGACATAACAGATGCAATAATTAACTATCAACTAACTACAATAAATACTACAGAATAAATACAGATCAAACGGTCGGGAAGTTAATAGCCGTCCTACGAGTAGGGGATCTCCGCCGGCCGCAGAAAGCCATCCCCGGGGAGGCTCTCGTCCCATAACCATTTTTGGGTGCAGATTTGGTTTCGGGAAATGTTTTGACTCTTCATCCTTGTCCAACCACCTCCTGTTATCATACAGAATCCATTTCTAATTGCACTTTATGGTTCGATTGAGAAATGGATCGTTTTAGTCTCGCAACTGAAGAAACGTGCAAATTTCAAAACATCAATGTCTTTGTGCTTCGGTTACTTTGTGCAGTACCCACTTGTCCAACTTCTTTACTTTACCTCCAGATGGCGAACAATAATTGAGTGGTCAACACAATCCTTCTCTGCAATTTCCTTTGTTGTCTTATGTAAAAAATTTTCAATCATTCTTTTAAGTTGGTTGTCATCCTCAATGGAATGCACTACCATGACCTTCCCTGTCTCGATCAAACTCTCCAAGAAAAATCTCTGAAACCATCACTGCACCATGCATTTGCTAAATTGTCCCTCCCCCAAACTGTATTGATGTGGTTTGGGCCACACTTTAACCATGTTTAAAGTCATACATTACATAGATTTGAGGAAAATCTAGTTTGGACATATTTAATTTCGCAGGTCCTCACTCTTTCCAATTCTATACAAATTAAAATGTTTTGTAACATTTAACATTTAAAAAATATCAGTTATAAATATTTATTATGATCCATAAATTAGATTTTTTTTTAAATTTAGATCTATTGGTACAACATACTTTTCACCATGTTGTTGATAAACAAACTTTTTGTTTTTTATGCTAAATTATGCAGTTATTTTTTCCCCTGGCAAAGTAAGAAGTCTGACCTTGAGTTTTTATAAAATGAATTAAGGAAATTAATTATACAACTATTTTGAAAGCAAAAAATAAAAATTTATTCTTACTTAATCTATAAAATTTCATACAAAAGCAATAACTGTACATTTATATAATAAATCTAAATACAATAACAAATATATATGTACATAATATTATAAAAAGTATATCTAAATTATCTTATTAATTTACATTACTTAAAGTAATTAACTTGCAAGGGTTTGCTAACAATTTTCTCTATTTACTAGTTATAAGTACTTTTAGTATAAGTAGTGTTTTTGTCAGTCTTTTGAAGGAAAAAAATCCAAAAAATGTTCTTAAAATAGTTTTGCCAATAATAATTTTGAAATTTGTACTTCTTTTTTTGTTCACTTTTAAAATGCGTGTCCTCTTTTATTGTTGATACAAACAAGCAAATTAACGATTAGCAATCTTAATTAATGCAATAGTAAACCAACACCAACCAAGCGCAAAACTTTTCTTAGCAGTTTTAATTGTTGGCGTTGTGATTGATCTCCTCCTCTTCTGGAATGCTACCTCTAGTAGAGCATTCAATGCTCTTAGAACGGATGTAATTGGAAAGAGAGCGTTTCTGCTTTTCTCGGCAAAGTTGACAGTTGTTTTTATTCGTATGTCCTTGTGGCTTAGACTTATACACAGTTTCTGTAAAAAACACAAAAAAAAAGCTGTGTTTAAATTCAAATAATTTAAACAAAGTTAAACATTTATAACAGATCTACCCACACTTATTTGCAATATCAAATTCATTCGTCCTATCATTTAGATAATAAATAATTCAAACTAATGATAAATAAATAAGAGTTTGAACTGTATTTGGTTGAAGTTAAACTGTTTTGAAATTGAAATGAATCCCAATTATTAAAACAAATATTGATTTTTTACGATAGTATGGATTGACCTATCATTTGCAAAGATGTTAAAATAAATTAGGAGGCTTAAAGACTTGTAAACAGTGTCAGATATTATCATTGTTATCTTCACAAGTTCCCATTTTAAACTAAGATAAATATTGCCATTTGGTGATATAACTCGATATTACGATTCTTGTCAAAATGAATAATTTATTTCTCAAGTTTTATCAATTACCCCATGTGGTAAGTTGTTATTTAATTTATTTTTAATCTTATAGTAATAAAGAAAAATTAGTGAATGGAGGGCCACACAGTTGAACCATTAAAATAAACCTGCATAGAGTTGTAATTAATTGTCTGATGAAATTTCGTTGTAAAATTCATTCATTGTGTACTAACAGAAAACATATTTAGTTAATTTTATGTACATGGCATTTATCCCTTATTTTCTCTCCTCCTAATTCTAGGTTTTTTTTTCAAACCATTTCATGCATTTGAATCCTTTTTTTTAAACAAGTTGTAAGCTTTTAAAAAATTATAAAGACTGGCAGAATTATGGTTCTTGGATTGAAAAAACAATTGATTGTCCTAATTTTATCAGTTAATACCAACAAAATAACTTTTAAAATCTACTAATGAAAAAAAAAATGGTGAGTAGGAATTGGCATGTAAGATCAGTCGAACCATTGACCTAAACCTGTTTAAAATTGATTGATTCATTGTGTACAAACAGATAACGTCCAATATTTTTTTATGCTATACATTTATCTTTTATTTTCAGCGTATTTTTTAAAACAGGCAAATAGAAAACTTATATAAAATCGTAAAAAAGGCCAGATATTGCAGTTCCTATCTAAAATAACAATTTTTATTTCCCAAACTTCACTAAATACGAACTAATATTTATCTCTTTTTTGATCTTTGATAAAAAATAAAAACATCGTGAGTGGTGGAAATTAGAGTAAATGTTGAACCATTGACCTAAACATGAGTCAACTTTATTGATTCTTTGTATACAAACATAGAAAGTCCTATATTTAGCGAATTTCGAATTTAACCATTTTTTTTGTTAATATCCAATTTATTTCCATAAAATATTTCAAGGGTTTTTAAGCATTCCTTGTATTTGAAGCCATGATTTAATGCAAACAAGTAGACATCCTAGGAAATCGTGAAAATGGTCAGATGTTGCAGTTCCTGTCTAAACAAATTCCTTATTATTTTGAGTGGAAATTATGGTGGATGTTGAACCATTGATCTAACCATGAGTCAACTTATTGATTCATTCATTGTATACAAACAGATAAAGTCCTATATTTAGCGACTTTCATATATAATCATTATTTTTTTTATTAATGTAAACTTTTACAATATTTTTAAGCATTCCATGTAACTGAAGCCCATGGTTTAATGCAAAAAATAGACATCTAGGAAATCGTGAAAATGGCCAGATAATAATGTTCCTGTTCCAAAAAAGAAAAAAAAATTTCTTTCCCAAATTTTATTAGCGCTTGGACTAATATTAATCTAATAGTACGATTAATGTAATAAAAATAAATACATTGTGAGTAGAAATTAGGGTGGATGTTGAACCAATGACCTAAATATGTCAGACAAATTTATTGATTCATTGTGTGAAAACATGTAACGTCCTAAGTTTGGCGAATTTATATTTTGATATATATTTTTTAAAGATATTTATCTTTATTCTATTTTAGACATTGCTTTAATTGCAAGTTACGTTTAACACGTAACAAGAACATTAAGAACTCGTGGAAGAGGCAATATAATTTTAGGTCTTTTTGACGAACAATTTATTTACCAAATTTGATACAAGAGCTAAGATAGATCTCTTTTTATGATCCAGTAATGAAAAATAATGATAATAAAAATCGTCAGTAGAAATAAGCTGGTTGTTGAACCAATGACCTAAACCTGTGAGCCATATTTATTGATTCATTGTGTGCAAATATATAACGTCCTAAATTGAGCGAATTTTATGTTTTAAGTAATCGTGAAATAGGCGTGATATTTCACGGTCCTGTCTGATCAAACAATTTTTTTACCAAATTTGATCGCAGTACGAGTTATGATCGATCGCTTTTTATGACATAGTATAATTAAATAAAAATAATAATCATATAAAAATTAATGTGGTTGTTGAACCAATGTCGTAGACCCATGAGCCATATTTATGGATCATTGTGTACAAGCATAACGTCCTGTATTAAGTGAATTTAATGTTTTGACATTAATTGAGTTGATATTTATTTTCGTTAGATTTTGAAATATTTTAAAGTATATTTTGATTCAAACAAGTCGACAATTATTAGTCAATCTAAACTATTTTACATCAATAATAATCTGGATCTCGGTATGGTCTGGATGAAAAAAACAAATTCAATTGTTATCTGCCAAGCTTTCGTCATGTTTTAAGGCCATCATCACGGTCTACAAATTGGGTTTATAAAGTTTTTTTTAAGTTTAATTAATTTTTTAATAGATGATTTTAAATTTGTTTCAAGTTTCAGACTCAATCATTATTTTTGTTGTTGATATTTATTTATTTTTAGATTTTGAAACATTTCAAGGCATATTTTGATACAAAAAAGTCGACAATTATTAGTAAATCTAAATTATTTTGTACATTTTAAGTTACAGCAAGAATAATGTGGTTATAGTTAATAAATAGTTGTAATAAAGTTTTTTTAAGTTTAATTAATGTTTTAATAGGTGATTTTAAATTTTTTTCAAGTCCGACTCAGTCCCAACATTGTCAAGGACTGTAAAGACCATTGCTCTTTAGCTCTCTTGTTACTCTCTCAATTGTGTTATATCTTTAAAAGTGTTTTGTCCTGATGACCTTAAAATAGATCGGAAGCATGGCACATAACATTTGATTTTTTTCTTTTCTTTTCAACCAGATTTTTCATGAGCACAAAAGTGTCCATACTTCTTACACTTTAAGGAGATACAGCAAAGAGTAAAGATTTACATTTTTTATGTACAGTAGTAAATAGGTGGTAATCCATCGAAACACTTTGCTATATTTATGTATTCGTTATGAACGTGTACAAACGGTAGGTTTTTTATTGTATTTATTTTTATTTTTTTAATTTTTTACCTCCCCCCCATTTTATTTGTAAATTAAGCCATCAATGTCTTATAAGCTATGTTATAAGGCAGACATGTATTCAATTCTAAAGAAATCGTGAAAGTGGCTAGGGGTGCGATATTTTGAAATGTTTAATTTAACTACTTTGTATATCTGTTGTTAAAGATAAATTGAATTGGTTTTGTCCTTTAAATCACGGATACTTTCTTTTCGAAAACGCAAATAAATAGAAGCTATTTTCATTTCTTGACATCAACAGGTCTTTGTTTTCTCCTATACCATGAGGTACGGGCCGGGGGGTTTGAGAATGTTTTGAGGGCGCGGTAGGAAGGGCGAGGGTCTGGGCCGGCGGAGTTTCATTGACCCGTTTCGACGTGGGTTGCGGGCCACCCGTCACGTAGTCTCTGCTGCGTAGTAAAAGGGACCCCAACCTGGCCGGGCCTCTCGCACCTCCACCTCCGCTTCCACCTCCATTGATGGCAAACGAGTTACACGCTATTTTTAAATCTAACCCTTTCGTCCTTGCTTTCTGTTTACGTTTCCTTCCATCCGCACTTTTGTCGTTCCCACATCCACGTTTATCGTAGATTTAATTATAATCCACATTCGTCATGAAACACTAGTATGAGTTTTGTGGCCAGGTAGTACGAAAGTAGTTGATCTACTACTGAACTACTTTAAACATCTGTTGCGAAAAGAAAATTGAATTTGTTTTGTCCTTTAACATAACATTCTAGCTGATGAAACGATCTCCTTGTGCCGGTGCAAAACGGATACTTTTTTATTTTTAATGTGTTTAACAAACCAGAAAATTCATTCCACACTTGATTTTTGAACGTTATAATGATTTGGATGCACTGTCTTTACTTTAATATCCTAATTATTAACAAAATATTGTACTTGTAAAGCAGAAAAGTTCTCAAAATAATCTAATAATAAATACGTATTAACTTACTTAAATTATGTTCTGACCTACTTTTTTTAAATGTTCTAGGTTTCATTTATAAACATGATTGAAAGAAATTGAGAAATTGTTACTGGCTTTGTACTGCTTTAAAGTATTGTAGTCTTCTTGTTAAGAGGAGTCTCAGGGTCTCAGAAGTCAGAATCTTATATTATTTAAGCGAGGAAATGCCATATCAGATGCTTCGATTATTAAGGGGACTAATCAGTTTCCAAATCCACCAATATTAGGTAGGAAGGGCCTTAAATAAAGAAGATTATTACGAAAGCATGGGCAGTAACAATTTCTCAATTTCTTTCTATCACGCTTATAAATGAAACCTAGAGCATTTAAAAAAGTAAGTCAGAACGCAATTTAAGTAAGTTATTACGTATATTACTAGATTATTTTTAGAACTTTTTGTGCTTATAACTCATGCCATCTCGGGCCTATTTCATAATCTACTAATAATGTAGTGTAATAAAAATATTCAATTAAATACAAAGTTCAAACACCAATTCTTTCTGTTTCATAATGGATTCATTCATAGAATTCAGTCTCAGTGATTGATTGATGTACAAGCAAAAACCTACAAAAGTACAAGTCAGATGTACTGTTAGAGATGGAAACCAGGTATCAAACACATTTGCTGTTTCAAGTTTGTTTGGTTTAATTAGTGAATCGGGTCAGGTTGTTGTTATTGCTTATTGGTTCTGTTTCCATCAGTAGCGAT